CCAGAATAGTGCCAGAAAGCAAATGAGCAGCTGTCAGGGTGGAGGAGAGGGGCGCCGTCTGCCCGAGGCACTGAGCGCCGACGGCTGTGGGAGCCGCTCCTGGGATGATGAAAATATGCTGGAATTAGGTAGCGGGGATACTCACCTGTCTTCTGAACATACTAAAAACTGCTGAACTTTTTAAAAAAAGATTTATTTATTTTTATGAGAAAGTCAGATACACAAAGAGAAGGAGATTGCGAGGAGGATCTTCTGTCTGCTGATTCACTCCCCAAATGGCCACAACAGGCAGAGCTGAGCCGATCTGAAGCTAGAAGCCAGGAGTTTCTTCTTTCACCGGTGTGCAGGGTCCCAAGGCTTTGGCCTGTTCTCCACTGCTTTCCCAGGCCACAAGCAAGGATGTGGGAAGTGGAGTAACCAGAACACGAACTGGCGCCCACATGGGATCCCAGCACATGCAAGGTGAGGATTTAACCACTAGGATACTGTGCCAGGCCCAACAGCTGAACTTTGAGATGATAAATTCCGTGGGGATGTAAGGAATAGCTTTACCAAAAGGGGCCATCAACACGGGGAGCTAAGCTGCCACTTGGGACATCCACATCTCATGGCAGAGAGCTTGGAATGCAGCCAGCTTCCTGCTCATGCACATCGTGGGAGGCAGCAATACCGGCTCAAAGACTGAGGCCCGTGCCACCCACGAGGGAGACCTGCACTGAGCTCTAGGCTCCTGGCTTTGGCCAAGTCCCAGCTGCTGTGGGCATTTGGGAAGTGAACCAGCAGATGAAAGATCTCTCTCTCTCTCTCTCTCTCCATGCCCCACCATGTCTCTCCATCTCTACCTTTCAAATAAACACAAATAAAAAATAAGTATTTTAAAATAGATTTACTGTCAACATAGGGAGGCTTTCCTGAGAGCAGGCAGCTGACACCTGCTGCCATCTGAACAGCTATCTTGCGCTGTTCTCAAAGTCTCTTAACTCCTCGCTACACCTGCCAGCAGCCTGGGGTAGCAAGTTTGCATTTGAGAAAATTAAGGTTCAGGAAAGTGATGCCACCAAGCCACAGTCACATACACAAAAGCAGCAAAAATTGTCACATCCCCATGCAGGAAGTGTCAGATATTCTTGAGATGTGAACACTGAAGAACTGAAACAACAATTAAGCAGTAACAGAGCTGTCTGCTCTGGAACCCATTCTTGTTTTGCTGTGTGCTTTTTGTTTTTTTACAAAGATTTATTTTACCTATTTGAAAGGCAGAGAGAGAGAGAAAGAGAGAGATCACTTATGTGCTGTTTCATTCCCCAAATGACCACAGCGGCTGGGGCTGGGCCAGGCTGAAGCCGGGAGCCTAGAAGTCCATCCAGCTCTCCCGTGTATGCAGCAGGATCCAAGGCACTCAGCCATCCTCCTCTGGTTTCCCAGGCTCATTCACGGAGAGCCGGATTAGAAGTGGGGCAGCCAGGATGTGAACAGATACCTATACGGAATGCCAGCAGCGCAGACAACAGCTTTTTTTTTTTTAATGTTTATTTTTTTATTGGAAAGTCAGATATACAGAGAGGAGGAGAGACAGAGAGAAAGATCTCCTGTCCGATGATTCACCCCCTAAATGACAGCAATGGCCAGAGCTGAGTCGATTCGAAGCCAGGAGCCAGGAACTTCTTCCAGGTCTCCCACAAGGGTACAGGGTCTCAAGGTTTTTTTGGCCACCCTTGACTGCTTTCCCAGGCTACAAGCATGGAAAGCAGGACTGCCATGATTAGAACAGGAAGCCTAAATGGGTTCAAGGCAAGGACTCTAGCCACTAGGATACTGTGCTGGGTCCTCATATGACAGCTTAGCCCACTGTACAGATGCTGATCCCTTGTTTGATGGTTTCTTTTCTTTTCTTTCTTTCTCTCTAAAGGAAATTAAAATGGCGTGGACCAAGTCCTACACACATCCACGTGTACAGTTGTCGGTTCAACACAGCCTTGAGGCAGCCAAGTACAATCCTTGCTCTAGAGTCAGACAGATGCGAGTTTGAATCCCAGGCATGACACTCGTGAATAGCTGTGCTGCAAAAAGTCACCCAGCTGTCTTCCATACAGATAGATGGTGTCTATTTCACACAGACTCCCCGAAGCATCCTCCAACCCATCATCACCCACTGCCTGCCTCCGGGAGAAGCTTCCTGGGGTCAGACATGACTTGGTACAGAAGAGGGTGTCAGAGGAAAGATGCCAGTAAATGGCCTTCAAGAGATTGTCTTGACTAGCCAGTGCTGTGGGCGGCTCAACAGACTAATCTTCTACCTGGGGCGCCAGCATCCCATATGGGCGCTGGTTCGTATCCTGGCTGCTCCACTTCCAATTCAGCTCACTGTTTATGGCTTGGGAAAGCAGGGGAGGATGGGTCAAGTCCTTGAGCCCGTATACTCGCACGGGCTACTGGAGGAAGCTACTTGCTCCTGGCTTCAGATCATCCCAGTTCCATTGTGGCTTTAGGGAGTGAACCAGCAGGTGGAAGATATTTCTCTCTGTAAAATCTTTGTTTCAAATATTTTTTTTTAAATTTAACTGTTTATTTGAAAGGCAGAGTTACAAAGAGAATGAGAGAGAATCTTTTACTCTCCAAATGATGAGACCCAAATTGGTGCCTGTATAGGATGCTACACCATGGCACCAGCTCCCAGCACTTAAATCTTGATGAATTTCTTTCTAGACAAGTAAAAAGGCAGGGCATGGAATGATGGCCTACTAGCTAAATCCTTGTTTTGCAAGCGCTGGAATCCCATGTGCGTGCCCATTTGTGTCCCAGCTACTCCACTTCCAATTCAGCTCCTGGCTTGTGGCCTGAGAGGGCAGAGGAAGATGGCCTAAGATCATCTTGGGACCCTACACCCACATGGGGACCCAGAGGAGGCTCCTGGCTTTGAATTGGCTCAGCTGCAGCCATTGTGGCCACTTGGGGAGTAAAAACACACAGAGAGTTTTTTTTTTTCTCTCTGTCTCTCTTTCTCTCTGTAAATCTGCCTTTTAAATGAAAATAAATAAATCTTAAAAGAAAAAAAAAAGGGGTCGGGGTGGAAGGCAGACACAGAGAAATCACTCAGAACTCCAACAATGATGAAAGCCACAGGATCAGGTCTCCCACGTGCATGCAGGGGCCCAAGGACTTGGACCATCCTCTGCTGCTTTCCAAGACCAGAAGCAGAGAGCTGAATGGGAAGTGGCATAGACAGGACACAAACCAGCACCCATATGGGTTACTGGTGCCACAGGGCAGAGAATCAGCTTGCTGTACCACTGCACCAATCCTCTCTTTTTCCTTCTTAAAGGAAGACCGGTGCTGTGAAGCAGTTGGGGGGTGGGCAGCTGCCTGTGGCACTGTCATCCCGTAAGAGCTCAAAAGTGGCCCAAGTGCTCATGGGATCAAGTTCCAAGCTCCTCCTGGCTCCAGCATGGTCCAGCTCTGGCCATTGCAGCCATTTAGGAAGTGAACCAGCAGATGGAAGATTTTATCTCTATTTCCCTATGTTAACAAGAATTTTTTTTTTTTTTAAGCCGGTGGCATCCATTTCCTATGATTGATACGAAGCTTACAGAATTACAGGAGAGGAAGTACACAGAACCGCCTGACGGGTGTTAGCACCGTCCATGGAGGAAATACCAGCCTCCGCCACGGGAGGGCGCTCTCAACCTTGCGCCTGTCTCTGCGACTCCCCGCAGGAGGGGCTGCTTCGCTCCCGCCACCTCCAGGCAGCCTTTCCCAGGCGGGAAGCTCACTCACTCCCACTCAGGAAAGCTGAACCCCACGCTGCTTTCTCTGACTCACTGGATTCTCCCGCAATTGCAACAGGATCTGGCAAACCTCCCCTCCAAGCGCTTTCACTACTTACGAACACCCGGAAGCCTCCCCATCCCCAACCCCCTCCAACCCTGCAGCCCTGCAGCCCTGCAGCCCTGCAGCCCTGCAGCCCTGCAGCCCTGCAGCCCTGCAGCCCTGCAGCCCTGCAGCTGCTCTGGACAGCCAGGCTACCGCTGCGGCTCCTGCGCCTCAGCCCCTGGCCCTGGCGTTCTGCAGCTCTAGGTCTCACCCACCTTGCATTAGCCACAGTGCCTAGTTCAGAGCTCAGCCCTCACTGCCACTTAGAAGTTTATGCAATAAATAACTTGGGGCCGGTCCCACGGCATAGCACGTTAAACCTGCGCTTGCGGTGATAGAATCCCATGTGCATGCTGGTTCAAGTCCCAGCTCCCTGCTAAGGTGCCTGGGAAAGCAGTGGAGGATGGCCCAAGCGTTGGGGCCCCTGTGCCCGTGTGGGAGACCCAGTTGCATTCCCAGGCTCCTGGCTTCCACCTGGCCCAACTTTGGGCTTTGGGCCATTTGACAAATGAACCAGCGGATGGAAAAGCTCTCTGAAACTGTGCCTTTCACATAAATAAATATTATATAAAAATCTGATTCCTTCATTTAAACTTTTTTCTCCGTCTCAGTGCCACCCACAGTGTAGGGAAGGGGTGTCCAGTAAGGAACAAGACGGACATGCCCCCCTATGCTGCTGAGAACATCAGAAGTCATCCATGAATAAGGCGGTGTTGTCCTAAGGGACATAAAAGTGTCCCCAGGGATCCAGTCGTGCCCAACCCAACAGCAAGCCTGGGCCTGGCACAGACCGCCCAAGGTGTGAAGCTGGCGGGGCCTCGAGGGGCGTGAGCCCCCCGTGCAGGGGGCCGGACCCCACACGGGCAGCATCCCTTTCAAGCGCAGGTGGGGTCTCCCAGTCGCCCCAGGAGCAGGGCCCGAGGGGGCGTGAGCCGCCCCGCATCACGGCCCCAGGCGCGCGCCCACGCCGGGGGAGGGCCACGTGACGGCGGCGGGGGCGCGCGCGGCGGCGGGGCGGGGGCGCGCGGGGGCGGGGCGCGCGGGGGCGGGGCGGGGCCTGGCGCGCGCGGCCCCGCGGGCGACGGGGCGGGCGGGAAGGGGCGGGGCCTCGGGCGGGGCCGCCGGCGGGCGGGAGGGGAGGAGTGGAGATGGCGGCGGCGGCGGCGGCTCAGGGGGGCGGGGGCGGGGAGCCCCGGGGAGCCGAGGGGGTCGGCCCGGGGGTCCCCGGGGAAGTGGAGATCGTCAAGGGGCAGCCGTTCGACGTGGGCCCCCGCTACACGCAGCTGCAGTACATCGGCGAGGGCGCGTACGGCATGGTCAGGTGAGGGGGCGTTCCGGGGGAGGGGGCGGCCTCGGGGTGGGGGAGCCATCGGGGAGGGGTGCCCTGGACTTGGTGGGACGTGGAGACCTGGAGCGTCCTGCAGAGGCGGGGGACTCTGGAGGCTAGGGGCGCAAACCGGGATGGGAGCCCTGGAGTGCCTTCTGGGGGAGGGGACGCAGCCCACGTACCCCGGGGAAGGGGGCTTGGGGGCTTTGAACCCAGCCCTGGGCCCTGGAGGGAGCCTGCAGCTGGGTGTCTGGGCGGGGGGAGCTATGGGCTCGTGGGTGACCCTGGAGACCCGTAAGAGGCGAAGGCAATAAGTGGTCCTGGTGTCTGAGGACCCTGTTGCCCCCTACCTGGACGAGGGGGCCTTAGGACGCCTTGGAGCTCCCAGGGGACGCTCTGCCCGGGGAGTTGGGGCGGAAGGAGCAGAGCGCAGGGTGGGGCCAGGCTGTGGGCCTCAGGGCCTGAGGCTGGCTGACCGTGGGGGCTTCACAGCCAGGAGTGCCTCCTTCCTTCCCTGCATCTCTGAGGAGATGTCTCGGGGGGTCCTGCCTACCCAAGTCCTCACTTCAGGCCCACCCCTCCCATCCCTTCCCTGCATGGCTCCTGTGCTTGCCCCCCTCTCCCTCTATTTGCCACATCTGTCTCTTCTCCCACTGCCTGGACCTGTCCAGAGTTGAGGGTGGTAGAGAGGGGGTTGTGATGGAGTCTCGTCGGGGAAGAGGAGGGCCCCAGCCAGGTCGGGGCAGCTAGAATGAGGAGGCAAAGGGGAAACCAGCGAGTGGTCAGCCTCTTCCTCTGTTTGTGAAGTCACCAAAAGGCCGCCTGGCTGGTCCCCAGCTCTCTCTCCCTGGAGAGCCCAGGCCTTGGCGGCAGGAAGGAACCAGTATTGTTTATAACTTGGGCCAGAGCCCTCCTGAGCGCTGTCCCCTCCCTGCCCTGGCCTGGGTGGGGCCGGACAGGCCAGGACTGCCCCTTTGTGGAGGCCACACTGGAGTTGGGGGGGGGTGGATATTGGGGAATGATGGCCGGCGCAAACTCAGTTGTCTTCTGGGCCTCTCAGCTCGGCCTATGACCACGTGCGTAAGACCCGCGTGGCCATCAAGAAGATCAGCCCCTTCGAGCACCAGACCTACTGCCAGCGCACGCTGCGCGAGATCCAGATTCTACTGCGCTTCCGCCACGAGAATGTGATCGGCATCCGGGACATCCTCCGCGCGCCCACCCTGGACGCCATGAGGGATGTGTATCCTTGAGCCCTAAACGCTGGCTGCGCAGGGCAGGGTGGCCCTGGCCAGGTGCCTTCTCCTCCTCCACCCCTTCCCTGTTCTGTGCCTTCCATGGGAGGCTGGGCCCCACGGCCTCTATGGGCGCTTTGTCCTCCGCCATGGGCAGCTATGTGACCTGCCCCGGCCCCTGCCCACGGTCAGCTCTTGCCCAACAGACTGGTGATTCTTTCTCTCTGGGTGCCCAGACGGAAGGAAAGCAGGGAGGAGGGAAAGTCAAGTGTGCACCCTGCCTTCCCGCTGCCCTGGGAGACCGACCCACCAGTACCATCCCCAAGATAAGGATGCCCAGGCCCAAAGAGCCCCAGGAAGTGTTTCTGTGGCCGTCCCCCCTCTCTTCCCTCCCCAGTCAGGAACTTGCCCTTATCTTTCCCTGGGACTTCCTGCCCAGAGCCCCGCCCTGAGCACCTGTGCAGCTGCACCTTGCCCAGGGAGGCACAGCTCGGCCTCAGTGCCCTGCACCACCGCACTGCTGTCGGCTTCCGTCCCTGGCTCAGCTCCTGGCCGCTGGTGATAACCAGCACCTCTCACCTACCCCGCCCATGCCACCTGCCTGCCACAGGTGCACCTCTCTGGGCAGTAGTGCTGGGCTGGCTCTGGAGTTCACTGATGACCCCAACAAGGTTAATTCAAAAAGCCGGGCTAGAGATGAGCTACGTGACATTTATGTGTTTATTTGGGCTAATCTCTGTTTTGTCTTGCAACAAGGCCGACGGAAAAGGACACCGACTCCCCCGTTCTCCGCTAGGTGGCCAGGCCCTCGTCGCCCAGTGCAAGTGCTCTGCTGGGAGTGCTGCCTCGTTTGTTTTTTCTTGTACAAGCAGCAGGCATTTATTTTTAAGCCAAACATTGATTACACGCCAGATGGTGTTCTTACATTATCTCATTTAACCACCACCACCACCACCCCCGGCAGCCACGTGGCCCTGTGCTGGTTAAGGACTTACTCCATGAGTTGTGGCCTGGCTCATTTACACAGTTTGTCTACCCTCTCTCAGACCAGTGGAGATGCAGGCACAGGCTGAGTTCATAAGACCTTGGAATACTCAGATAAAAGAGAATGAAAATCTTTATTTACGTGTCCGTCCCCCCGTAAAAACCTGAAATACTTATAGAATCTTTTTTTTTTAAAGATTATTTTTTATTGCAAAGTTAGATACACAGAGGAGGAAAAACAGAGGGGAAGATCTTCTATCCATTGATTCACTCCCCAAGTGGCCTCAATAGCTGGAGCTGCAGTAATCTGAAGCCAGGAGCTCTGAGCCTCTTCCAGGTCTCCCACACAGGTGCAGGGTCCCAAAACTTTGGGCCATCCTCTACTGCTTTCCCAGGCCACGAGCAGGGAGCTGGATGGGAAGTGGAGCTGCTGGGACATGAACTGCCACCATATGAGATCCCAGTACATGCAAGAGGAGGACTTTAGCCACTAGGCTACCACACCAGGCCCCATAGAATCTCTTAACCAGACACAGTCCTCCCAACTCTCTGAGACCCATGGAACTGGTGGACTGTATTCTCTGCCCTCAAATCGGTGCTTTCCTCTCATTCTGTTTGCCTATGCACGTTTTAAGGACCCGAGCTACAGCAGGGCTTGCTCGCAGCCCCATTTCCCTGGGAGGAAGATGGAGGCCACGGGCCAGAGTGCAATATTTGGGGTCCCCTCTGCCTTTGCTGGGGGGTGGTTGACAGGATCTCTCAAATCCCAGGGAGCCCAGGGACACGGGTGTACAGTCACATCTTCCTGAGCCAGTTTTCCTTGACGGAGTGCCCCTCTCTGTCCCCTGTCTGGCGGGGGGCTCCCGGGCCATCACCAGCTACATCGTGCAGGACCTGATGGAGACTGACCTGTACAAGTTGCTCAAAAGCCAGCAGCTGAGCAATGACCACATCTGCTACTTTCTCTACCAGATCCTGCGGGGCCTCAAGTATATCCACTCAGCCAATGTGCTGCACCGGGATCTGAAGCCCTCCAACCTGCTCATCAACACCACCTGCGACCTTAAGGTCCGCGGAGGCCGCCGGGCCCCCCCTCTCGCCTCATCCATGCTGGGGATCTGTAGAACGGCATAGGTCAAGGAGGGGGAGTGAGGGTGGGGTGGCACTGCCTGGGCTGCACAGACCTCACGGGCCGAGCACCGAGCGCCAAGCTCAGATGCCCCGGTGTGATTGCAGATCTGCGACTTTGGTCTGGCCCGCATCGCAGACCCTGAGCATGACCACACCGGCTTTCTCACGGAGTACGTGGCCACACGCTGGTACCGGGCCCCAGAGATCATGCTGAACTCCAAGGTAACACAGCACCCCAGCTCAGAAGGGAAGGCAGCAGAACCCTGAAGCCGTCTATGAGCCAGGACAGAGGGTTGGAAGGGATCCCCCAGGGTACAGGAAGTCCACCCTCAGCGACTTGGGCTCTACCCAGGGTCTAGCATGGCAGGGGTAGCTTGGCCCATGCCCCAGGACCCTGCTGAGCCAATGTTGCTCCAGGAGCCCCTCACTACTTCTCTGTCCTCCCCCAGGGCTATACCAAGTCCATCGACATCTGGTCTGTGGGCTGTATCCTGGCTGAGATGCTCTCCAATCGGCCTATCTTCCCCGGCAAGCACTACCTGGACCAACTCAACCACATTCTAGGTGAGAGGGCCTGGCCCCGCAGAGGCAGGGGAGGTGAGGGGGATCAGAGAGGAGGCAGTGTCTGAGGGTGAGGATCGTTGACACTTGCCACCTGTAGAACTGCAGCAGTATCTCATGGCCTCAGTGGGGGGCATAGGTAACTGTCCCGATCGGCTGGATGGCCAAAGCCTCAGACCTCAGGAAGTACTTGCTGGAAGCTCTAGCTGCTACCATAGCATAGTAGGCTAAGCCTCTTCCTATGCACCAGTATCCCACATGGGTTGCATCATGGCCTGGGAAAGCAGTGCAGGATGGCCCAAAGCCTTGGGACCCTGCACCTGCCTGGGAGACCTGAAAGAAGTTCCTGGCTTCGGATTGGCTCAGCTCCAGCCATTGCAGTCACTTGGAGAGTGAATCAATGGATGGAAGATCTTCCTCTCTGTCTGTTCTCCTCTCTGCAATATCTGACTTTCCAATAAAAATAAATACATCTGGGCCCAGCACCTTGGCCTAGCGGCTAAAGTCCTCACCTTGAATGTGCCGGAATCCCATATGAGCACCGGTTCTAATCCCGGCAGCCACACTTCCCATCCAGCTCCCTGCTTGTAGTCTGGGAAAGCAGTTGAAGACAGCCCAAAGCCTTGGGACCCTGCACCTGCGTGGGAGATCCAGAAGAGGTTCCTGGTTCCTGACTTCGGAACGGCATAGCATCAGCCGTTGCGCTCACTTGGGGAGTGAATCAATGGATGGAAGCTCTTCCTCTCTCTCCTCCTCTCTGTATATTTGACTTTGTAATAAAAACAAATAAATCTTTACAAAAAAAAATAAAAAGATTTTATTTTTATTGGACAGGCAGATTTAATGGAAGATGTTCCATCCACTGGTTCACTTCCCAAGTGGCCTCGATGGCCAGAGCTGAGCCTGTCTGAAGCCAGAAACTAGGAACTTCTGGATCTCCCACTCAGGTGCAGGGTCCCAAGGCTTTGGGTCGTCCTCCATTGCTTTCCCAGGCCACAAGCAGGGAGCTAGAAGGAAAGTGAAGCAGCCAGGATACGAACTGGTGCCCATATGGGATCCTGGCTCATGCAAAGCAAGGTAGTTAGCCACTAGGCTACTGCTAAAGGCCCAAAATAAATAAACCTTAAAACCAAGAAGGCTAGAGCCCAGCTTTGAGCTCAGAGCGCCTGGCTCCAGACCCTTGGCTCTTTGACACTGTAAGGCAGGTGACTGAGGGGCTGGCCAGAAAGAAGGGCAAGGAGGAGGAGGAAGTTCTCTGAGCAGCTCACCTTCTGTTTGCACAGGTATCCTGGGCTCGCCGTCCCAGGAGGACCTCAACTGTATCATCAACATGAAGGCCCGCAACTACCTGCAGTCGCTGCCCGCCAAGACCAAAGTGGCCTGGAACAAACTGTTTCCCAAGTCAGACTCCAAGGGTGAGTGAGACTTGGGGAGGGGCCCCTGGGAGAGAGGAGACATGCTAGGTGCAGGTGGGGGTGTGCAGATACTGGATCCCATGGGCTGCCAGCATGGGCAAGCCATGGGAGGCTCCTGGGGGCTCCTCCAGCCTCATCTTTGCCCCTCCCCCCAGCCCTTGACCTGCTGGACCGCATGTTAACCTTCAACCCCAACAAGCGGATCACGGTGGAGGAAGCACTGGCTCACCCCTATCTGGAGCAGTACTATGACCCAACAGACGAGGTGGGGCAGGGCGCAGTGGGGTCGGGCAAGGCAGCAGGTGAGCCAGCGCCTCCCGGGCCTGGCCTGAGCCATCCCCGGTCTCCTCACTGCAGCCTGTGGCCGAGGAGCCCTTCACCTTCGACATGGAGCTGGATGACCTCCCCAAGGAGCGGCTGAAGGAGCTCATCTTCCAGGAGACGGCCCGCTTCCAGCCCGGGGCCCCGGAGTGCCCCTAGCCTCCCTCCAGACTTCCCTGTGTGCCCCCTGGGAGGGGGCTGGGAAAACCTGGTGAGTGTTCCCCTGTGTCACACCAGCCGCACCTCTGGAGCCGTGAGCTGACCTCACATCTGTCAATGCAGACCCTGACTCATGACCCACCCAGTCCTGTAACGTGCCCGTCCCTGCCCCTCCCCGCCAACACTGAGTCCCACACGGAGAGCAGAGCCAAACACTGACAGAGAGGCCTGTGGGCTGTGATTGCTTTGGGAGGAGCTCAGGGATCACGTGACCTGAGCCTGGGGCCCCTCACTTGCTCAGGTCAGTTGTCCTACACCTGGGGACCTCTTAGTGGGCCCTCCCCCACCCGCACCATGGCCCTGGCCACCCACGGCCTCTCTCCTGCTCCCGTTTGTGCAAGCACGTCGTGAGCTGGGCTGGGCTGGACTGGACTGTGTGGGCCAACACTGATGGTAAAACCTTCCCCACCCACAGTCAGGCACCTGCTGCTCACGGCTCCTTCTCCTCTTTTCTTCCAGGCCCTGTCTCCTGCCTGCCCTTCTATGCCGGACTGTTAGAAAACGGACACTGTGCCCAGCCCCTGGCAGCCTGGGGCCAGGGCAGGGGGCTGGGGGTGATGGGCCAAGCCCCCATGTCACCCCTGCTTTCCCACAGGCCAAGAGCCCCTTGTCCTACGTCCTAGTGCCCTACTCCCCAGCCGCCCTGCCCCCCTCACCCCAGCTGGCCCAGGCTGTTCCTTGGGGAAGTGAAGGGCTCTGACCCGAGGACGCCACTGCTGCTCCTCCGGGGACAGGAATGTCCCCAGGGCCAGGGCAGGGACATTGAGCAAGCCCTGCCCCCCCCTCACCTCCTGAACCACCACCCTCCCCCCTCCATCTCCCTGGGGAACATTCCTGAATCTCAAGGGCTAGTACCCCTAAGGAAAGGAGCCAGCCCTCAGCCCTCCCATCAGGCTGCCGCATTAACGCCCTCGCTGCTTCTGTGGGAGGGGAGCGGGTGGCGGGGGGAGCACGCACACGGAGCCCCCGCCCCCTCCCGCCCCGTGCCTGTATCTAATATATAAATATAGAGATGTGTGTATGATGACTTTGGCTCTTTGTGTGACTGCCGCTGTCCGGCCCAGCCAGCACCACCTTGGGTTCCGATCCTAGTAACCTTTGGCCAGGGGTGAGGGTTGTCGGGAGGGGCGGAGGGGCCTGTCTCAGACTCATGGAAAGAGTGGGGTCAACGACTGCTGCTCCAGAATGACTTCCTGTCGAACTGGCTGGGGTGACTCGGGGTGACTCAGGGGTATACTGCACACCTCCAGATTTTCTGGAAGAGGGTTGAGGCTGAATGTGAGGGTCACAAACATCCAAGCATAAGGGGCTGCTTTATTCCTCCCATGTGGCCCAAGACAGAGGGGTGTGCCAGAGTCCATGAAGGATCAAGCACGTGATAGTCAAAGCTGACTGCCTGCCTGCTGCTGGCCGGTGGCCTCCCACCTCTCTCCCCCAGCCCCAGCTGAGCCCTGCAGCCTGGCCCCAAGCCAGCAGCAGGCTCAGCAAGTCTCAGGGGCGTGGCACTGAAGCCCAGCCAGCCTATACCGGCTCTTGGCTGTCTTCTCTCGGCAGCCAAGACAGCCAGTAGAGGTAGCGTCAGGCCACCTGCACCTGCTGGGCACCGCTGGGGGAGGGAGCAGCCATGAGCCCCATGCTATACTACACGCTGCCTGCCCTGGGCGGCTACATCCTGCTCTCCATCTTCTTCCTGCGCCGGCCTCGCCTGCTGCACCCAGCCTGCGCCCCAGCTTTCTGTGTCCGCCTGGCAGCCCACCGAGGAGGTGAGCTAGGCACGGGAGGAACCGGCTTGGCATCTCCTGGGGTTGGGAAGGAGGATGATCACAAGTCAGGAAGACCAGTGCCCAGGTGGACCTCAGGGAGGGGAGGTCCCTGGGATGCGAGAAGTGGGGCAAGGACCAAGGTGGAAAGAAAGCCAGGAGTGGGGCGGGGCACCAAATACACAGGGAAAGGCTGGCTCCAGCCAGGCTGTCTGAGCCAGCCCGGAAAGAGGCTAGCGCGGGAAGTAGGGGGATGGCTGGCGATAAGGCCGCCGGGCGCCAGGGACTCACCTCAGCTGTCCCACACAGGGTCTGGAGAACGCCTGGAGAGTACCTTAGAGGCCATGGAGAAGTGAGTGCACCTGCCTTGCCCACGGCGCCTCCCCCTCCTGCTCCAGGGCTCAGCACCCATGGGAGGTGTGCACTGGACCCACACAACCCTCCATGAGGCCCACTCCCCCCCACCACATCCCACTGCCCGGGGTTCCTCACACCTCCTAGCACTGCGTGCTTGGGCCCACCACCATCTCTCTGACAGCTCCTTGGCACAGCGAGCTGACCTCCTGGAGCTCGATTGCCAGCTGACACGGGATGGCGTGGTGGTGGTATCCCACGACCAGAACCTGTCCCGCCAGTCGGGCCTGAACAGGGATGTGGGCAGCCTGGACTTTGAGGTGAGTGGGCCTCTCCCCGTCCCCCCAGCCCAGAGCCGACACTTGCTCCCAAGCGTCCCACCTGTTAACGCGGTTTCCACTCTTCCCCAGGACCTGCCCCTCTACAAAGAGGAGCTGGAGGTTTACTTCTCTCCAGGTGAGAACAAGGGCTGAACCGAGTCCCGCCTTCCCCATCCCCTCCCTCCACTTGGGGCTCTCCCATCCTCACCCTCCCACTCCTGTCTCTTCCTGCCACCCCACCCTGTTCGCAGGCCGCTTTGCTCACGGGGCTGACCGGCGCATGGTGCGGCTGGAGGACGTGTTCCAGAGATTCCCACAGACTCCCATGAGCGTGGAGGTCAAAGCCGAGAACAAGGAGCTGGTTCAAAAGGTGCTGCTGCCAGCGGTGGCCGTGGGCATCGAGGGGCTGGTGGCCAGAGAGAGGCCTGGCTCTCCCCTCAGCCTCACCCTCGTCTCCCCAGATAGCAGGCCTGGTGCAGCGCTTTGGGCGTAGTGACATCACCATCTGGGCCTCGGAGAAGAGCTCGGTCATGAAGATGTGCAAGGCTGCCGTGAGTCCCTCTGCGTCCCCGCTCTGGGTCTGGAGCCCGAGCTGGGAAGCTTGTAGGTCTCCATGGAGAGGCATGTTAACCTGGCTGGAAGAAGGGCTGGATATGACTTTGAACCTACCCTCTGGTGGCCTGCCCCTCCCTCCATCTGCTTCCATAGGAGCAGGCTGAACAATTGATTAATCGATCACTTCCTCCTCCCCTCTGCTCTCGGCAGAACCCGGAGATGCCGCGGGCCTTCACCGTGAGTAGGGGGCTCAGGCTGCTGCTGCTCTACTACCTGGGGCTGCTGCCTTTTGTCCCCATTCCCGAGCGCTTCTTCATGTGCTTCCTGCCCACCATCATCAACAGGTAGCCTGAGCCCCCCCTGCAGGACACCTCCTTCCCGCCACCAAGGATCTAGGGTGCAGGAAGGGCTCCCCATCAGCTCCTTGGCTGCCCTCCCCGCAAGGTCCTTTGAAGGTGGTAGATCTCAACCAGCAGCCCCCAGTGCTGCAGGGGCTGGAAATGACATGCAAGCGTTCAGTACATGGAGTACCTATCATTCACCTGGATTCGTCCACAATAAGTGGTGAAGAGTTCAGGGTGCAAGTAACATCCTAGAGTAAGACCACTGTGGGTGGGATAAGCCCTGAGCTCTCCCAAGGGAGGCTAGGATTCCCAAGGGACCAGCAGGCGGAGTGCTTGCTTGTTTGCTTGCTTGCTTGATATTTGAAAGAGAGAGACATACACAGCAAGGTCTGTCATTTAGACCTGATGCAATAGTCCAGTTGGCTAATCTTCCCCTGCAAGCACCAGGATCCCATATGGGTGCCGGTTCCTGTCCCGGCTGCTCCACTTCCCATCCGACTTTCTGCTTGTGGCCTGGGAAAATAGTGGAGAATAGTCCAAAGCTATAGGACTCCATGCCCACCTGGAAGACCCTGAGGAAGCTCCTGGCTTCGGATTGGCTCAACTTTACCTGTTGCGGCCACTTGGGATGGAAGAACTTTCTGTCTCTCCTTCTCTCCATAAATCTGCCTTTTCAGTTAAAGAAAAGAAAAGAAAAGAAAAGGGATCTTCTATCTGCCAGAGCACTCCCCCCACAAAGGCCTATTGGGCCAGGCCAAAGCAAAGAGCCAGAACCCAGTCCAGGGCTCCCACATGGCAGGGGCCTGCGTGCTTGGGCCACTGCGTCTTGAGTTGCTACCCCTTAGGGTGTGCATTAGCAGGAAGCTGGAGTTGGGTAGGATGGCAATCCAGACACCCAGATGTGGAGTGTGGCTGTCCTCAGCCATGTTATAGCCAGACTGCCCACTGCCTCTCTGCAGGGAAACCCCAGTGCCCCCTGCTCCCTCTGTTGGTGAGGGGGAGGGAAAGCAAGGCTCCCAGCCAGCCCCCACTTGGCTATGAAGCGATGGTTTATTCTACCAAGTTTCCTTTTTTTTTAAACATTTGTTTATTTTTATGGGAAAGGCAGATTTAAAGAGGAAAGACAGAGAAAGACCCTCCATCTACTGGTTCATTCCCCAAATGGCTTCAACTGCACAGCTGAATCAACCTGAAGCCAGGAGCCAGGAGCTTCTTCCAAGTCTCCCACACTGGCACAGGATCATAAGGCTTTGGTCCATCCTCTGCTGCTTTCCTAGGCCATAAGCAGGGAGCTGGATGGGAAATGGAATAGCTGGGATATGCACCAGTGCTTATATGGGATACCTGGTGCTTAAAGTCAGAGGATTCACCAATTGAGCCACTGTTGCTGGACCCTTGTTGTACAGTTTTGCATTTAAGATTTGTAGTGCTTTTTCAGAGAGGGTCTGTCCTTTGCTGGGTGTGCCCCAGGCCACTGTGCAGGGGGAAGTAGGCACCTCTTCAGGAGCCTTCTGGTCTTCAGCAGCCAGGCCAAGTTGGGATTCCCTCTCCGCTGACCTGCTACCAGCTTTGTGTGTAGCTGCCTCCTAGCCCCACCTTGGCCCCAGTTCAGTCCCAGAGTGTCCAAGCAGGTCCCTTATCTAAGCTCCATCTATGCTGTCAGCTGGGGAGGGATGGGCACAGCCCCAGTGAGCAAGAAGCCTCTGGCTGGACAACGGGGGCGGGTTGCCAGGGGTGGGGGATGGCAGGTGAGGGCAATGGCAGAGTGGCTTCTAGAAGTTAGGGGGTCACCCTCCCCTCTCCCCCCATACTTCCGTCCCATGCCTCTACACAGGACCTACTTCCCATTTTCCTGCTCTGGACTGAACCAGCTAGTGGCTGTGGTTTTGAAATGGTAAGGTGGCAAAGCTGGCAGCGGGGAGTGGCCCCCCAGGGCACTGCCACTGCCCTGTGGCTCCTCTTCTCCACACCCCTTTCCCCCTGCAGGGCCATCATGAGGAAAAGCCTGATCCAACACCTGAAGGAGCGGGGCATTCAGGTGAGGCCTTGGCCACCCCTTTGGCAGCCTGGACCCCACGTGCCGGACACTGGGGCAGGGCCTCGCACCTGCTGGGTCTCAGTTTGTCCAGCCACAAAAGGGGTAGAATAGTGTCTTACACATGCCTGGTGCTTCGAAAGGGTTTCATAATGATGATGATGGTGGTGGTGGTAATAGCAGTCTACTGAATCTGATGGGGTAGGATAGGGGGGATGGCCAAAGAAGGGAGAGAGGCCCTGTCCGCCTCTTACAAGCAGCAGCTTTGACCAGGTCTTTCAGTGAGTCAGCTTAGTATGTGGTGAGAATGTTCCAGACCCTGTGATCCCAGGGTTGGGAGCTTACCAGTAAGGGCAGAGGAAAAGAGCAAACTCTCGCCAGGATGTTGGGGACAGAAGGGAGGCTGGTCTAGAAAGCTGGGTTGGGGGTGGTGAGAGGCCTGAAGGGAGGGAAGGGGCAGCAGGCCCCACACCATGCACCACGGGGAGGAGCTGACAGCCTAGCCTAGCACTGCTGCCTGGAGGAAGTAACCAAGGGTAGATGGGCGAGGGAACTGGGGCTGCAGCCCCGGGACCCACAGCTTTTGAAGGTGTCAACTGGGAGACACCTCATCTGTTGAGCAACCTTTCTCTATCAAACCAAGAAATCAAGAGACCCAGGAACTTGCCTGAGGTGGGGTGGAGGATACAACCTCAACTCAGGCCTTTTGAGTACAGCCATTCCCACTCTGGCTGGGGGCCCCACATCTGCTCTGAGCTCTGGCTCCTGACTCCACGGTCTGCCCATGCGCACCCTGGGAGGCAACAGGTGATGGCTCAGTGCTTGGGCCCCTGCCACTCACAGCACAAGTACAAAGACTGAGTTCCCAGCTCCCAGCTGTGGTCCAGCCCATCCCAGCAGGGAAGTGAACCGTGGATGGGAAATCTGTCTCTCAAACACATAAAAATGTTCTTAAGAAAAACAAAACAGTTCTGTGGGAAGAATAAGTTGAAGCGCAAACAGGAGAATTCATTCCCTGGTTTAAATACTCTTAATTGGCCAGTTCTAAGCCCCACACATGAAGTTGCCAACTGCAAGACAAGGAGCAGGCAGGTCGTAGAAATAGCTGAATCTCACACAGATTGTTTTCAAAGATTTGTTATTTTGAAGGACAGACTTGTGGGGAGAGAGAGATCTTCCATCTGCTGGTTCACACCCCACATCTCCAGAACCACTAAGTCTGGGCCAGGCTGAAGCTGAGAGCTCCATGTAGGTGGGCCATGGCCAAGAGTCTCCTATGTGGGTGGTCAGGGACCCAAACACTGTTGCTTTCCCAGGCTCATTAGCAGGAATTGGATCAGAAGGGGAGCAGTCAGGAACCCGGCACTAGGATAGAGAATGCTGACATTGGAAACAGCAGCTTAATTTGCTGTGCTACAACACCAGGGCCACCTCACACATTCAACAGATACAACTTCAAGGACATAGGCAACTGAACTAAAAGGATTACAAAGTAACAAGCTTTGAGTACTTGCTACATTTGTTTTGTTGCAATTTAACTGGAAATTGATGCAGTTTAACTTTAAAAAAAAAAAGACTTAAAAATTTATTTACAAGGCAGAGTTAGAGAGCGAGAGTGGCTGGGACTGGACAGGAATGAAGCCAGGAGTGTTTTTCCAGGTCTCCCACCATGGATTGCAGGGACCCAAGCTCTTATTCCCAGGCCCATTAGCAGCGAGAGGAATCAGAAGTGGAACAGCCAGGACTCGAACCAGTGCTCACATAGTGGCAGTTTAGACATTGTGCCACCATGCAAACCCAGGCCCTGCAAAGCAACTGTTGAGTAACTAGTTTGCAAAATGCCTGAGAAGGTGACAGCTGCAGCAGGCCCCCAGCTCTGTGGGCGGGGCCACCGCGGGGATTTAAGCACCAGGTGCAGGAACCTCAAGTCCTGTTCTGGCGCAGGTGCTGTTTTGGTGCCTTAACGAAGAGTCGGATTTCGACACTGCTTTCAACCTGGGAGCCACAGGCGTTATAACCGATTACCCCACAGCGCTGAGGCGCTACCTGGACAACCACGGACCCACTGCTCCTGCCTCTTGAACCCTGAGGGTCTCCCTGGCGCGCTCCACTCTCTCCCTTATCTCTGCTTGGAAAATAAATAACTTCTTTCAAGGCGCCTCCTTGTGCTGAGAGGGAGGGGTGGTTCTGACCGACTAAAGGAGACCAGCCAGTCTGGGGCCAGAGCCCGAGGTCCCTGGGCAGCCCCTGACCCGCTGGTTCCACCACATTCCAGCTTCAGAGGATGGCCACACCCGGCGCAGCCCGGCCTCCACGCTCCCCAGGAATGTCCCTTGCGTCCCCTCTCCAGTCCCTTGAGAGCCACAGAGACTAGTCCGGTGCACCTGATGCTTTCTGAAGCCCCAGCTCCTCCCTGAGCTGCAGTCTTAATTTCTGCCGCCACCTGTGTCCTTGCACCCTGTCCATCCCAGGAGTCCCCAGAGTGGCCGCCGTCCTTCCCCGGACTGGTGCCTCTCTTCATTGAATAAATCTCATCCCCCACGTTTCACAGCTGCCCCAGGCCTGCGCTAGGCCAGGCTGGGTCCTGGAGCCCATTGTAGTGAGCAAGACTCCGGGTCTGGTCTCGGTTCCCGCAGAGCCTGGGGGAACCAGCGAAGAGGGGCTCCAGGCCGCGCTCGCACGCAGATCACTTCTCGGGGAACCGTGCGTGCCAGCACCAACTTCCAGCTGCACGCCAGGGACAGGAGCCTCGACCACGGGTGCCCTGCGAGGGCCGGGTGGCCGGGGAGCCGCATTTCCGGGTCGGAGCCGGGGAGCCGGGGAGCGGGGGGCAGGGCTGGCGGCCGGCGCTGACCGCCGGAGGACGCGCCCCCTCGTTTGCATGCCGCGCGCCCATTGGCCCCGGCCGCCGCCGGCCCGCGCGGCCGCCCCCTCCCCCGCCCGCCGCAGCGGCGGCCGCAGCTGGGCTCGGTGTAAACAAGTCGGCGGCGGCTGCGAACCCGGCCCGGGGGGCACGGTGCCCACCCCGAGCGCCCCCTCCTGCCAGCCAGCCCAGCCCGGCGCACCGGGGCCCCCCGCGCACCCAGGCGAGGTGAGGCCCGCGCCGGCAGGGCTGCGCGTCACCCCGCGCCGCCACCATCAGCCCCCCCTCCCGACCCTTCCTCCCGGGGCGCCCGTCTTCCCCCCCACCCCACCCTCAACCACCCCCAGCCCCAAGTGAGCCCCGGGGGCTCAGGTAAGGCTGCGCGACGCAGGTAAGATTTCCCCCTCGGTATGGACGGTGCCCTCCGCGCGCCCCCCTTCAACCCTCCTAAGTGGCTCCCCACCTTCCGGGAGGCCTCCAGGTGCAGCTTGCTCCCCAGGTGAACTTGTGCAACCTCTTCTGAAACCTGGGCCGGTGGTCCTAACGGGATCCCCGGCCCATCCCTGCCTCCACCCCTCCTCACAGCCCACAAACCCCAGGCCCCCTCCTCCGATTTCAGCTGCCAGCTCAGCAGGGGTGGGGTCCCCCCAAGCCGCGGAGGGGAGTGACTCACCTGGGGCACCTCCTCGCCTCAGTTTCCCTGTTGATGCAACCTGAGGCCTTCTCAGTGAGTCAAAACCCAGCTGAGCCTGGTCCCCAGAGAGGCTGCTGGCTCCCAGGGAAGGAGAGAACAGCCAAGTGTGACCCCACAGTCCCTACTGCCACCGCTGGCTCTGGGCGTGCCCGGCACCTGACAGTCCACCTGCTCCTTCCCCGGCAGGCACTGGGATCTCTCTGCTCCCCGTGGGCCGCTCCCCGCGTGGGGCCACTGCCCCTGGCCCCCGCCATGGTGCGGATTTCAAAGCCCAAGACGTTTCAGGCCTACTTGGATGATTGTCACCGGAGGTATAGCTGTGCCCACTGCCGTGCTCACCTGGCCAACCACGACGACCTCATCTCCAAGGTAACACCACCAGCTGGGCTGGGAGGCAGGAGGAGGGACTGGCCTGCGGCACCCCTCAACCAGAGTCTGACCCCCTCCTCTTGCATTAGTCCTTCCAGGGCAGTCAGGGGCGGGCCTACCTCTTCAACTCTGTGTGAGTATTAAGGGTCCCCCTCGCCTCCTTCCCTGACCTGTCTACTGATCTGTGATTCCTTGGCATCATGCCCAGACCCCTGAGTTCCCCGTTGCACAGGTTCAAGGGGCAGGGATCAGATAAAAGATGGGCCGGGTGGGTCTGCGATGCTGAGGAATCCCTACCTCCCTGGGACTTGTCCTGTGTCCCCAACAGGGTGAACGTGGGCTGCGGGCCAGCCGAAGAACGGGTGCTGCTCACGGGCCTCCATGCTGTCGCTGACATCCACTGTGAAAACTGCAAGACCACGCTGGGCTGGAAATATGTGAGTGGCTAGTTTCCCCCTAATCCCCTCCTCTCCCCTTGGGCCTGACCCCGCAGCACCTGCTGCCTTCTCAGGACCCTCTGCTCAGCCCGGCCTATCTCCTCCAACCAACCACATCCCCTCTGGCGTCCTGGAGGGACTGTGTCCAGCCACCCTGAGCAGTCACCAGCAGCCCTAGTACAGAGATGAGGAAACCAGCAAAGTTGCCGCTTGCCTAGGGCTGTATGCTCTGTGCATCCTGTTGTACCCAAGCATGACAACTGTCCGTCCTATGGATAGAATTGCTTCTCTCTCTGGATGACAGGGAGGCCCAGAGAAGTTGAGTCACTTGCCCAAGCCCACACAGCTGGTTGGTCACCAAATAAGGGTCAGAAACCAAGCTGGTTCTTTATTTATTTATCACTCCAAGTACTCAGCCCCTACCTAGGCTCTTGTCATTAGGGGATCAGCGACACCACAGCCATGCTCACTTGTGCCTGTGGGCCACTGCCTGCAGCACTCCTGGCCACTGGTGCCATCCAGGATCTGATTTCACTGCCTTATCTGGCAGCGCTTGAGGGCAGAGCCGCCACCTGGCACTGAACTTGTTACAGGGATCAGATAAAAGATGGAGCCGACAGCCAGCAAGGGGCAGGATTGCTGAGGCTGACAGCCAGCCCTCACCCCAGGTGGTCTGGCCTCTGGATCTCTGTACAGTTTTAAAACGTGGTGGCTCCATCCAAGGGCGTGCAAGGCCAAAAAAGATGGGTTTGTTAAGAGAGATGACACATCTGCAGGGGGGCTTGGGGGAGACTGAGGCCTTAGCTCTAAGCATTTGTTTGTGATCTGAACAAAGCCCCACTCTGGCCACCAGTGTGCCAAGCCTGAGCTGTGCAGACCACCTCCCTCAGCTCCAGGGATGACAGCCCCCAACCCCCTTTCAGGAACAGGCCTTTGAGAGCAGCCAGAAATACAAAGAGGGGAAGTACATCATTGAACTCAACCACATGATCAAAGACAACGGCTGGGACTGACCGCTGCGCCTCCTGCCGCATGCGGCTCCACCCGGGGTGGCCGCTAGGGGCGCCGCGGGCCCCCCTCCGCCGGCGCGGAGCCCCGGACGCAGGCGGCTCCTGTACATATATTTTATTGCATGCACTGTGACCTTGGGGGGGAGACCGGAAGGGGGACGGACGACACCCCCACCCCTCCCTGCGATCTGGCTGGCTTGGATCTCATGTTGACCCCCTCCCGGTCCCGTCTGCCCGACAGACACAGCCTGTGTGCTGCGCTCTCAGCCCCGGGGCGCCGTCTGCCCTGTGAACTCCTCCTGCTCCTCCCCCTACCCAGGCCCTCGGATCCCACGCGTGTCTGTTCCCCTTGTTCTGTAGCGTTTGTATATAATAAAGCCATGGAGTGCACACAGATCCGGGCTCACGCGGCATCCAGAAAGGGGTTGGGGACTCTGGGTCTGTTTCTTCCGGAGCTCACAGCAGCCCCGGCTGGGTCGCACTGCCGAAGTGGGGGTTAGAGGGTAGTGAGTTCTCGAGCCCACGCTGGCTCCCCAGGGCCTTGACCTCTGCAGAACTGCATCTTCTTGGCTTTGGTGCTCGGCCGCCTCCTAGGGGCAGCTCCTTATAAAATACAACTGTGCCGCTGGGTTGGCCCCACCTCTTTCCAACTACAACTCCCAATGGCCCTCGGGGCAGTCGGTCTCACGTGTTTCGTCGGGGATCCCAGCTAGCAGCATGCTGGGAAGTGTAGTTCGAGACTTTCCCGGCGCGGGACTTTTTGTGCGGATTCAGTGATGGACCTTCTCAGACATTGTGGAGCTGCCAGCCTCTCAGGACTTTGGAGGATTTCGCCAAGTGTGGATAACCAGGAAATGGAAAACCAGGGAGCACTCTCGGGACCGGGCATCGGCTGTGGATTCCTCGCAGTCCCCCGTGCGCCGCGTGATCCGCTCACAGGGCGCGTCCTTCCCGCTACACTTCAGCCTCTGCGGCTTCTCGCCGAGGCTGGACCTTCAAGTGTAGCAGGCGGGGGAGGGTCACCTGCCAGAAAGCCTGCTTGTCAGGGCCCAGGCCCCGCCCTTCCCCCCATGGCTTATCCCTAGCCGGGGCTCTCCCCGTGGGAACGGGGACCAGCTGGCCGGAAGCGCCAAACTGCGTCCCCTTCCGAGCCCCGGGGATCAATCAGGCCGAGGAGTTAATTATGTAATGAGGGGGCAGGGGGTCGGGGCTAATGAAACCGCCCAGGAGGGGAGGGTCCCCAGGTATCCGGCCCCCTCTTGGACCCCCTTCGAGGCCCCAGGGGTCTCCACTGCGGCCCAGCACCAGGGCCCCCGAGAGGGGAGGGGCTGTGACCCTGGGCCTGGAAGGGGCCGAGCTGTGAGCTATAAAGGGGACATCTCTCAGCACCGGGCAACTCCAGGCATTGTGGGACCTGAAGACAACATGTACCATCCCCGAGAGCTGTACCCTTCGCTGGGGACTGGCTACCGTCTGGGCCCCCCCCAGCCAGGGGCTGACTCCAGCTTCGCGCCTGCCCTGGCCGAGGGTTACCGCTACCCAGGTGGGCACTGGGACCAGGAGGCGCATGGGGGTGGGGCCCGGTGAGGAAGGCAAGGCCCTCACTGGCTCCTCATCCTCTTCCCACTCCTCACAGATCTGGATACCCCAAAACTGGACTGCTTCCTCTCTGGGATTGAAGCTGCCCCTCGGTCGCTGGCAGCACCCCCAGCCCTGCCCCTGCTGCCCCCGGCCCTGGGCAGCGAGCCAGCCTCAGCAGCACCAGAGGCTGCCCCCTCGCTGCTCCCGGGGGTCAGCCTGAGCCTGGAGAACCAGGAGCTGTGGAAGCAGTTCAGCTCTGTGGGGACAGAGATGATCATTACCAAGGCCGGCAGGTGAGGCCTGTTCCACGGGGAGCGGGGATGTGGGGTGAGGGGAGGCAAGCTCTTGGGGGCTCCAGCTTTGCCGAAATCCTGGGAGCAGGGGTAGTTATCCTGTGGCCAGGGTCAGAGGTCAGCCTGTGGAGTCTGTGGACCAGTCCACAGCAGGGGTCATGGGTCAGTCTGGGCCATTGTGGCTGGGATACAGGTTAGTATGTTATGTGTTTTAGGCTGTGTCTGGGGTCAACTGTCAGTCACCAAGCCACATCAGGGAAATCTGGCTGGGAGCCAGGAGGCCAGCCCAGGAGCAGGGTGTGTGGTCCATGGAGAGCTCAGGCCACTGACCCACTGGTGGTGAGGCCACATTTGCCTGACAGCTGCTGAGCCCAGGGCAGGAGTTTCCCGGCAAGGGTGTAGGGCGAAAGCCATCACCACTGTTTGGGCACTGCAATGACAGGGGCTTGGAGCCAAGAGTCAGGGCTGCCTTCCTAACCGGCTGCGTGACCCTCGTCACATCCCCTGCCCAGCGGGCCAGCACGATCCCTACCCTGCCAGATCCCAGTTTAGCTCCCGTAACACTTCTCTGGGAGAACCAGGGACCCCTCCTCAGCGCTGTGCCCAGCCCTGTCCAGCAGGCAGCTCCAGGCACCTCTCCTCCCCAGGCGCATGTTCCCTGCCTGCCGAGTGTCTGTGTCCGGCCTGGACCCTGAGGCCCGCTACCTGTTCCTTTTGGACGTGGTACCAGTGGACGGGGCTCGTTACCGCTGGCAGGGCCGGCGCTGGGAGCCCAGTGGCAAGGCAGAGCCCCGCCTGCCTGACCGTGTCTACATCCACCCGGACTCTCCAGCCACTGGGGCCCACTGGATGCGCCAGCCTGTGTCTTTCCACCGTGTCAAGCTCACCAACAGCACACTGGACCCCCATGGCCACGTAAGTCCCAGGGATAGGGGCTGGGGATCGGTGCTGGATGGGAGTCCAGGGCTTGGGGCCAGGGGGTCACTCCCACTTCTTGGCCCCTCCAGCTTATCCTGCACTCTATGCACAAGTACCAGCCACGCATACACCTGGTGCGGGCTGCCCAGCTCTGCAGCCAACACTGGGGGGGCGTGGCCTCCTTCCGCTTCCCCGAGACCATGTTTATCTCTGTGACAGCCTACCAAAACCCACGGGTGAGTCACCATGCCGGGTGGGGGGCCGGGGAGGGGCGAAGTGCCACACAGAAGCTCTGACCGTACACCGTGTGCACTCTCCCTCTGCCCCAGATCACACAGCTAAAGATCGCAGCCAATCCCTTCGCCAAAGGCTTCCGAGAGAACGGCAGAAACTGTAAGAGGTGGGCACTGGTTCACTCACCCAGCACTTTTGTAATTGCTCACCTGAGGCGGGCCCTGCTGAGTCAGCCACATGACAGCGCTGATTCCCTTCCTGAACCAGCAAGTCCTTACTCGGCAGCAGCTGTGCAGCAGGCCTGATTCCAGGAAAGAAATCAAACCACAGCCCCTGCGAGACACATAGAGTAAATAAACTGGAGCAATAGAAAACACGATAGGGCAAAGGAATGAAGCAGGGTGTGGGGGGACAGGTGATAGAGAAGGGGACATCCGAGAGGCGGAAAGGAGCTGTGTAGGTTACCTAGGGAGCAGGCACTGCATGTGTAAGGGCCCTGGGGTAGGCCTGCACCTGTGGCGCAGCCAGAGTGGACCGAGCCAGGAGCAAAGCCAGGAGGTGATGGGCACCCAGGTTGCTGGATGGGAAAGGTGAGGGAGGGCCTCTGCTCTGAGGACGGCCCCCAAAAGCTGGGGAAGCTTCCCGGCCATCCGAGAGACAGACATTACCTGAAAGGTCCCTCGAAGGGAAAGGGTAACTGATGGCTGATGGGAGTCAGGGAGGACTTCCGGAAGATGGGTAAGTGAAGCAGGTGAAGATTCCAGAGATGCTGCTAGGTGATGATAGTAGACATGGGCAGAGGGAGACAAGCTGGACTCGGATCACATGCTGCCCTGGCGGCATGGAGGGTGTGGGAAGTATAGGAGAGGGGCAGACTTTCAGCTCAACCATAGAACGGTTGAGCCTTCACCTGTAAAGTGGGTGTAGTAGCGGCACCTACCCGATAGGGTGGGACCCTGGCAGGGCGCAAGGCTTGGCACCTGGTAAGGACTGTTATTGCCATCATCACCATCATCACCATCATCACCATCATCATCATCACCACTGCCCATCCCTAGGGAGCGAGACGCCCGTGTGAAGAGGAAACTTCGGGGCTCAGAGTCAGTAACCACGGAGACCTATGGGACTGGAGGTGAGCGGTGTGCCAGTGCTGGTCTGGGCCCCTCCCTTTCCATGGCCTGATGTGTCCATGTCTCCTTAGATGCACCAGGGGGTCCCTGTGACTCCACCCTGGGGGGGGATATCCGAGACTCAGATCTGGAGCAGACCCCAGCACCCCAGGAAGCAGCCCCTGCCCCACCTGCCCCCTGCAGCGGCCCCAGTGCAGAGGCCTACTTCCTGCACCCTGCAGCCTTCCATGGGGCTTCCGGGCACCTCCCGACCAGGTGAGTGCCAGGAGGGCACCTAGCTGGGCTGCTCCAGACCAGAGGGGGCTTCATGAGGAGCCTCTTGTGTTGTGACCCTTTCTCTCCCCATTGCAGGAACACCAGCTTCCCCGAGGCTCCAGACTCTGGGCGCCAAGCCCCCTACCCAGCTGCATTTCTGGAGCTGCAGCCCAGCCCAGGGGCCTCAGGGTTCCCCACAGCTCCACCTGCACCATCCTTTGCCCCACACTTCCTCCAAGGGGGCCCCTTTCCTCTGCCATACCCTGGGCCTGGGAGCTACCTGGACGTGGGCTCCAAGCCCATGTACTAACCCACGGCTTGGGTCCCTCTGCCTGCCCCCATCTCCCACCACAAACATCTAACCCCCTTCCCCCAGCACTTTAGCCCCCTTCTGCTGGCCCCACCCCCACACCAAATGGCTGCCTTGGGTCTAGCCCCTGCCCCCCCACTTCACACTTTGATTTCACTCCCACCCACCAGCGGCTTCAAAGCTCAGGCCAGGCTGCTGGAGTCCAGCTGGGGCCAGCTTCCCCTTCCCGGCTCTCACCTCGGTGTGAATGGAGGCAGGCTGTGCCTGGCCAAATGGGGCATTCCCCCTCCCCCCCAAGGCAGGGCCGGAACGCACCTGGGCAAGTGCTACCTCCCCTCCACCCCCATGGCCACCACGGGTGCAAGCCACACTAGGCTGTTCTCAGGACCAGAGTTATTTTTGTTAATAAAACTCAAAAGCCATCAGTATTCAGTTCTTTATGGGCTGCAGCATTTGGCCAGGGGGCTGGTTGTGGGAACCTTGGTTGGTGGTAGGGAGGCTGGGCTGGGACACAGCCCCATTCCAGCTGCTGGGCCTCCTATGCACCCAGCAACCTGCTTGGGACCTGTTTCCTATTCTGCAAAGTCGGAGGATTGGAATCCTCAGAACCGTAGAGAAAAGACAGTGAGGAAGTTTCTGGACAGGCGCCTGGAGGCTCTGAGTGACCTGCCGTGGCCACTCAACTCAGCATCCCTGCTCAGCCCCCATCAAGATGGACACCAGACTATTTTTCCTCTTTTATTAGAATTTTTTTCTTTTTTTTTTTCTCAAAACTTTTATCTAAAAACCAACAGAAAAAAAAAAAGGAAAAAAGAAAACAAAAATGACTGGAAACTTCATGGTTCAAGTGGGGAGAGAGGAGAGGAGGCACGTGATGCTAGGCCTCAACCTCTCTGCTAAGTCCTCACCCTCGTGGGGTACCCTCTTGGGGGGAGAGCAGAGTGGGGCAGCCCCCCGCCATGCCCAGCCTCCAGATGGGGCAGAGGGCAGAGTCACAGTGGTCCGAGGGCCGGGGGGTAGAGGGGTGGGGCCGGGGCTCACAGGAAGTAGTCAGCCACAGGCTTCTTGGAGGGGATGCCCCGGGTCTCCTGGGGTGCAGCCTCAAAGATGATGAAATCTTTCTGCAGATGTTCGTCCAGCTCCAAGATTGCCGCCACGTTCCCACAGCTAGGACAGGGGCCCACAGGTTAGGGACAAAGTAGCTGGGATGCCCACCCCACACCCGAATCCCGGCCCAACCTGCTCACCGGTAGCAGTAGTTGGGCGCTGACCACACGGTGAGCACCGTCTCGTTGAAGTGCCACTTGTAACCTTCCATCACCAGTTGGTGGGCACGGCAGATCATGTCAATGTCATTGGCCGCATTGAACTGAGCTACCACGTCACTGCCAAACAGGTAGCCGGCCCCACGGGGACTCACGCCCCAGCCTGTGGTGTCTGAGACAGGGATGGGGGAGGGCAGCCTTCAGGCTTCCTGAATACCTTCTCTCGGGGTGGACAGCTTGTTCCTCTCCCCCAGTCACCCACACCTTGAAAGGGCATGCAAATGGGAGCTGCCTATGATCGGAGCACTCTTGGGGCAGGGTCAACAGTTGAGCTACCCAAGAAGGCAGAGACGGCAGCTGGGACCACCTTCCATTCCAGTGATCACACCAGTCAGTAGCTGTTCCAGCAGGGCACGCAAGCGCAAGCAGGCACTCATGGTCACCACACTGGAACAGCAGTGAGCAAAGACCACCCGACAAAACGGGTGACACATCATCTACACTGTACTGGACAGGCCACGCATGTGACAGTGACAGAATGTGTGTGACAGGAGCAGCCCCAAGCCACACTAACAGAGAACCCCATCAGGTGAGAGCCCTCAAAAGCTACTGTCAGGACAGCAGGAGTGGTGACCTCATCCTGGCCAGCCCTCCCAGCTTCAATCCACAAATTCTAGCTTGTGCCCCATGGCCCCACACTGTGCCAGCCATGCCTCCCCCACTCAACTGCCAAGACTGAGCCAAGGACGACAGGCAACCAGCCAAGACCAAACGGGCCCTACTCCTGCCCTGGTCTCACTGTTCCTTCAAGGCCACTGTTACGCCACTTTCAAAGCAGCCTGAGAGCACAGTAAGCTGGCCCGGCCCTGGGCGCCCACCTCACCTTCTGGATCGGACCACAGTAGGTCACACATTGGGCCATCATGTGGCACCTCCTGTTTCCGGTCAATCGTCCTGATCTGGTCCAGCGTCTGGATAGAGGGCGAGAGGCCCCCGTGCACGCAGAAGATCTGTGGGAGAGAGTAGGGGACAGGGAGGCTCCTGCCAGAGCTCCCTAGCACTTGCGGGCACGCAGAGGCTGTGGCTGGCTCACCTTGCCGTCGATGATGGCCGACAGGCTGAGGTAGTCGAAGATCTCGGTGCAGTAGCGCCACACAGTCACCGAGCCGTACTTGCGCAGGCACTCATCGTAGAAGCCGTAGACCTGAGTGATCTGGCGGCTCTCATGGTTGCCACGGATCAGGGTGATGCGGTCAGGATAGCGAACCTGGGGCAGCCAGCAAGCCCACACTGGGATCTAGATGCCCCTCCACCTCCATCCACCCTCTCCACATCAGCTAGTGTCACTGCAGCCTCCTCATCATTGCCCTGGCCCAGCCTCCTTTCCTTTCCTGCTGTCATCTGCCCAAGGCTCCCAGTCCCTCCATTGGAGACTATGACGTCAACTGCCCCTTCATCATCCCACACAGAGCACATCCTCAGCAGCGCCATCTGCCCTCTCCGCCCCCACACCTGCTGAGGCAGACCACAGCCCCTGGTGTACCACGCTGCCGCCTGCTGAGCACAGGAACCACTCTCCCCTCCCTGCTGGCCACAGCTTCAGAGCCCTGGTCAGATGTCCCTCCATCAAGGCAACCCCAGCTGACCGCGCCAAGCAGTCACTCCATCACTGGCGGTGCAACTGCCTTGTGGAGGCAGGTGGGGTGGGAAGACGGGGATGCTGGGCCAGAGCCAGGGAGGGGCTCCCACCTTCAGGGCCAGCAACAGGAGGAACGTCTCGACGCTGTAGAAGCCACGGTCCACAAAGTCCCCCATGAAGAGGTAGTTGGTCTCAGGGACATCACCACCAACCTGGGAGGGATGAGGTCCTGCTGGGTTCCAAGTCGCGCCCCCCACCCTGGCTCCACTTCACTGACCCATGTTCCCTTCCTAGTGAGGCCTTCCTTTCAGAAAAGGTCCAACACCATGATGCAGCATGTAAAGCCTCCACCTCCATTCTCTATGGGCATTGGATTAGAGTGCTAGAGTGCTAGCTGCTCTACTTCCCATCCAGCTCCCCAACGTGCCTGGGAAGGCAGTGGAGGATGACAAGTCCTTGGGCCCCTGCACCCGCATGGGAGACCTGGAAGAAGACCCAGGCTTTGGATCAGATCAACTCAACCCCAGCCACTACAGCCATTTGGGGAGTGAACTTCCCTTTTAAAAAAAAAAAAAGCTCATCTACCTAATTTAACTAGAATCCTCTTGCATGCATCCCACGCACATGAGCAGCTTCAGCTGCTCATTATAGGGGTCTTCCAGCCAACCCTCCCCAGAGCCCCACTCCCTGGAGGTCCCCCCACACTCACTCTGAACAGCTCCTTGAGGTCATAAAACTGGCCATGGATGTCACCACACACCTGGGAAGCAGGAAGGCAGGGTGACACGCGCTCTCAGGGGAAAACCAGGGTCCCCAGTGGCTCTCCTCTGCAACTCTCACTTTTACAGCCCTGCCCCATCTCAGAAGCAAGGGTCTCCTGCCCTGAGCCAGCCTGGGCTGGCAGTGGCTCCCTCCACGGACTACCAACTGCTCTGGGGCACAAGCCAGGGCTTAATTCTTTGCAGCGAGGCTTGCAGCTCCTGCAGAGGACCTGCCCTCTGCCCACCAAAACACAGAAGCAGAGTCACTCACCAGGCAGGAGTGTGCCCTGGCCAAGGGTGCCCCCTCCCCCATACCACCCATGCCTTATGTGGGGGGTACAGCACGGAACCCAGGCTTGCAGATACAGGTGCAGGAGGCTGCAGACGCGGGTCAGGGGTACAGTGGGGACTCACCGTGACTGGCGAGTCCACCCTCTGCACGTTGCTCTCCTCCACCAAGATCTCTCTGGAGACAGAAGACCAAGGTCACCACAGCCAGGCCAGGGCAGGCCAGGTTGCAGTTTCCCTGGAGGAGGCTGCCCCGGCCATCCGCCGCAGCACCTTGCTGCCTACGGGACAGAGGCCAGCCTGGCTCATTCATCCTGAATCCCACGAACTCTTCTGGTACGAACTGCTTGGCACCCCGGCACTCACCCTGCAGAAAGGGGCCCCTTCACCTTCCATAACAGAAACCCAGGACCTTTCCTGGCTAAGCCTTGGCGTTCCTCTGTGACAGTCACAGGCCTTTCGCCAACTCTGCTGACTCCCTGAGGTAACCTCACAGCGCCACCTATGTCGCAAAACTTCTAGCACACAGTGACAGGGAGGACTTGGCCCTCCCCTGTGGACACTATGCCACTGTGTGACCACAAGAGAAGGTCACTTTGGAGCTGGGATAGAGTTACACTCTGCCAGCCCCCTAGCATCTCATAGGGCACTGGCTGAAGCCAGGCTGCTTCCCAAAAGCCCTCCAGGGCAGGAACTGTGAGGACTCTACACAAGAGGATGCCTGGAGCATGGAGGGATCGGAAGCAAGGCAGCATGGCTCCAGGGTCTGCTGCCTTGGGCCCAGCCCTCATCCAAGCCCTGCTCTGCCTGCCCCTCCCCAGAGAGCCCACTCAGGAAACAGGAAGAGGTGCAAATGTCTCAAGCAGCCAGGGCAGATGCCTTGCCCAGGGTCTGGCTACCCAGCACTGGGCTCCTGCACCTACATGGTCCCCTGGGAACATTCTTCCCAACCCACAGAGTCCAGAGCTTCTCTCATCCTCGTCTGACACAAGGAGCCTGAGGCTTAGAGCACAGTGGCAGGATCAAGGTCACAAAGCTGGGAAGTGCCTGAGCAAGAACTCAAAAAATTCAATTCCTGAAGAGCTAATGCCAGCCATTTCACAGAGTCAATTCCAGGCAGCTCATAGACAGGGCCCCTACTGTCAGCTGCTCCTTTGTGACCCACAATCACTCTCCTTTAGTTCCAGTCAACACCACCTTCAGGAGACCCACCACTGGGTCAGGCCCTGTCCCCGAGCAAGCACCATCTCCCCTGTGCCTTATAATGGTTTCAAAACCCTTCAGAGAGGGGCCAGCACTGGGGTGTAGTGGATAAAGCCACTGCCTGCAACACTGGCATCACATACGGGTGCCAGTTCCAGCACTGGCGACTTCACTGCCTATTGAGCTCCCGTTAATTTGCCTGGGAAAGTAATGGAAGACGGCCTAAATTGTTGGGCTCCTATACACACATAGGAGACCCAGAAGCTCCTGGCTTTAACCTGATCCAACCCTGGCTACTGTGGCCATCTGGGGATTCAACTAGTGGATGGAAGAGCTCTCAGTCTCTCCCTCACTGTGTTAACACTGCCTCTCAAAAAAGTATATAATTATTTTTAGGATGTTTACTTAAGAGCTGCTGCCATGGCTCAACAGGCTAATTCTCCACCTGCAAGCACCCGCATCCCATATGAGCACTGGCTCTAGTCCTGGCTGTTCTACTTCCAATCCGGCTCCCTGCTGTGGCCTTGGAAAGGAGCAAAGGACGGCCCAAGTCCTTGGGGCCCTGCACCCATGTGGGAGACCCAGAAGCAACTCCTGGTTTCTGGCTTTGGATCAGTTCAGCCATGGCCACTGCAGCCATTTGGGGAGTGAATCAGTGGGAAAAGACCTCTCGGTCTCTCCCTCTCTGTGTAACTCTGCCTTTTAAATAAAAATAATCATTAAGAACAAAACCAACCAACCAACCTAAAGCCCCGAAGCTCCAAAGACAAGCATCTGAAAGGGGCTGGTCAGCAAACCCACATCAACTCTGCTGGCAGTATCTGTGGACACAGGGCCAGGGCCCAGGGATGGCCGAGCGGCCACCTGCTCAGAGCCCTCTTGCTGGCAGAGTGGCATCTCAGTCAAGTCATCGGGCTCTCCGAGAGCCCCGGTTTCCCTGCCTCACAGAGCTGTTGGTGGGGAGGACTGTGGGGCCTCTATGTGTGTGCGCCTGCGCCCAGTCCCAAGGCAGGCACGCCTGGAGCCTACTGTTGCCCTATGGTTAAATGAACAGACTGATTGGACTGGCACCTCCCACCACGCTGCCCCTGGTGGAACCCTGTCAGCAGTACCCGCAGCAGGCAGCAAACTGGTTCTTACTGCTGCCACAACATCTCAGGGCTTGCAATCCCCTTTTTTTTCCCCCAGGATTTATCCGAAAGGCAGATTTTACAGAGAGGAGACACAGAGAGAGATCCTCCATCTGTTAATTCATTCCCCAAATGGCTTCAACTGCAGAGCCAAGGCAATCCTAAGCTGGGGCAAGGGTCTTCCTCCGGGTCTCCTCTATGGCTTTCCCAGGACACCAGCAGGAAGCCGGATGGGAAGTGGAGCAGCCGGGACATGAACTGGCGCCCATATAGGATCCCAACACTTGCAGGTGGAGTATCAGTTTACTATCCAATGTGCAAACCCAGGGGATGTCCATTTCTACTGCCACCACCCACAGAAGCAGTCCTTCCTCTGTCTTATCACAGTAGCACCACCAGCTCTGTCCTCTCAGCAACCTGAAGCTGTTCGTGCACTGTCCGAGCAGTCATAGCCAGCACAGCCACAGCAATGCTAACGCCTAGTGATGGCCGAGCATCTCATGCTGCCCTGGGACCCCATGCTGGCTCCCCTCCCAGAACCTCTCCCCACCACCTTCTCTCCACTTCACAAACAAGGAATCAGATCCTTAGCCACCTGGGCACCCCAGCACAGCCCACACCCGACAGCCCTGGTTGCTGAGCCCCACCTAAGGCCCAGCTCAGCTCTGGCTTAGTGCCCACCACTCCGGGTGCCACGCTGACCACTCAGGGAGATCCCACGAGACCCCCAAACAGGGCAGCACAGCGGGTTTCACACTCCACCTCGCAGTAGCCAGCTGCTAACTCTGGACTTGACAGCGCTGGCACGGAAAATGGGGGCGATACCACCCATCTTTTTGGTGCGGCTGGGATTAAAAAAAAAAAATACATATATATATATTTCCAAGCTGTCCCAAAGTCCCTGTCACCACCCTGTGACTATCTTTTTCAGTCTTTCCAGACATCTCAGGGTCAGAGTTCAGCCTCTCCCAGAACTTTCTCTCCAGCACCCCGACATTGCCAAGGAACCCCTGTCCCTTAGCCATCGCTCTCCACCGGCTCACACCGGCTCACACAGGCTCAGGCAGACCGAGCTCTCCCCCAACCTGTCTCCCAGCCACCGTACTCCCCGGGGAACCCTTCAGGGTGCGGCAGGCGGCGCGGGGTTCACCTGGCCTTGGCACACAGGGCCTTGACTTCACTCTCTTTGATGAGCTCGCAGCGCCGCAGTTGCTCGATCTGCCGGTCCAGGTCGCTGATCTCCGCCATGGCCCCCCGCCGCCCGGCGCGGGTCAGCGTTGGGGCCGCCGCCCCCTCCGCGCCGCACAGGGAGGGGTCTCCTGCGGGAAAGGCCGAGGCGAGCCCATTGGCCCGGGAGTCCGCGCCAAGGGGACGGGGGGACGAGGGGACGAGGGGACGCGGGGCTCGGTTGTGCGGGCGGGAAAGCACCCCCCCAACCCCGACACCTCCCCTCGCTCCCCGCAGCGTCCCACCGCCCTCGCCTCACTTTCGCCAACTCCCGTCGAACCCCGCGGTCCCGCGCCAAGAAGGACGGTGGCCTAGAGGGGTCTCGGGCTATTACCGCCGCGGCGACTCCGGGCTTCGGATATCGGGCTCCCGTGCCTACTGCCTCCGCTGTGGGCCGCCGCCACCGCCGCTTCGACTTCCGGCCCCGCCGCGGAAGCAAAGGGAAGCGCGTTCTGCCGCGCGCCGGATGTGGCGTCATACACACTCCCTCGCCCCCGCGGCGCACCCCTTTCAGGCCGAAGAATCGGAAAGAAACGGAAGGTACCGGAAAGAGCCGAAGGGGCCGGATGTCAGGTAAAAGGCTGGCGGAAGTGACTGTGGGCCCCAACAGCTCATAGAGATGCGTCCCTCACCTCGTTTCAGCAACAGGAATAAACCGAAGCTAGGCAGTGTTACTTTCTTAAAGATTCATTTATTGTTTATGGAAAGGCAGAATTACAGAGAAGGAAAGAGATCTTCCATCCTCTGCCTCACTTCCCCAAATGGCCACAACCTCAAGCGGAGCTGATCGGCAGCCAGGAGCCAGGAACTTCTTTCTGGGTCTCCCACACAGGTGCAGGGACCCAGGGCTTTGGGTCATCTTTCCCAGGCCACAAGCAGGGAGCTGGATGGGAAGTGGAGCACCCGGGACTAGAAGCGGTGTCCTTATGGGACTACTGGCACAAGGAGGTTGCCAACAGAGCGGCCAAGCAGAACCTAACCCTTATACCTTTGTATTGCACATTTTTGGGACCACCTGTTTAATCCGTTCCCCACCCCCGCCCTCTGGACCACAGTCCTGGACAGGGAGATATCAAACTGACTGCACCATGCTGGCCCCACACCACCTGGGGGCTTGCACTGTAGAGGATGCATATCCCAGTCCAAGCTTGTCCCAAAGCTCCCAGCTGCACAAACTTTGGATTTGACTAAAAGTCAAACTTTGAATTCAGGAAAGCTGTGTACTCAAGTCCTAGTTTTCTCCTCACTTCTCAAATGCCCCAAACTGGCACTTAAAAATCCTCTTCTTCAGCATCATGGCATAGCAGGCCAAGTGTCCACCTTGCTCTGGCAGAATATGGGCATGGTTCTAGTCCTGGATGCTCTTCTGATCCAGCGCTCTGCTTATGCACCTGAGACCTTGGTCCCCGCACCCAGGTGGAGACCCTGGAAGAAGTTTCTAGCTTTGGACCAGCCCAGCTGTGGCAGTTGCAGCCCTTTGGGAAGTGAACCAGATGTTCTTCCATGGCCACTAGCTCCATGCAGTTTACTGGAAGATTTGTAGATGATACTCCCTGTTTATTATCCCCTTTTCCTGCCCCTCCACTTTGGTTCCCCAGTCGAGTAAGAAAGCAGGCCACAGCTTGGAGGAGTGCTACGGATGGAGGTAACAAATGAGGAAACAATTTTTTAATTGGAAAGTCAGATATAGACAGGGGAGACAGGAAGATCTTCCATCCGCTGGTTCACTCCCCAAATGGCCTCAATGGCCAGACCTGAGCCAATCCAAAGCTAGGAGCCAGGAACTTCCTCCAGGTCTCTCACAAGGGAGCAGGGTCCCAACGCTTTGGGCCATCCTCAACTGCTTTCCCATGCCACAAGCAGGGAGCTGGATGGGAATTGGGGCTGCAGGGATTAGAACCGGCGCCAATATGGGATCCCAGCACTCAAGGTGAGGACTGCACCAGCCCCCACTCATGACTTTCTATATCCACACCCCCCAGTGAGCCCTGCTCAAATACTGCCAAGGGATGAAGTAGCTAGAAGAGGTTGCCCATCCTACCCCTTCTCCTGCCCCCCCCCAAAAAAAAACCACAAGAGCTTCTTCCAGGCTTTTCTATGACCTGGCTCTCGTGTCTTAAGAGTATACAGTTAGTGGGGAAAAGGAGAGGGGGACCACCTGCCTGGTGGCTCAACAGGCTAATCTTCACCTTGCAATGCCAGAATCCCATATAGGTACTGGGGCTCCTGTCCCAACTGCCCTCATTCGGATTCAGCCTCCTGCTTCTAGCTTGTGAAGGCAGTGGAGGATGGCCCAAGTCTTTGGAACCCTATATCCACATTGGAAACCTGGAAAAAGCACTTGACCCCACTCTGGTCATTTTTGTTAAATCTGCCTTTCAAATAAGGAAATGTAAAAAAGAAAAAAAAGGCGCACACATTAAACTCCCCCTTAAATAGCTGTTTATTGGCAGTGGGCTGGAGAAAGTGATAGTTAGCGTTCACAGACAACACCACAAACCAAAGTCACAAGGGAGGCAAGAGTGATGGGAAACCCAGCCTGGAACCCCCACATGAAGCCCCTCTTCAAGAGTGAATGTGCAGGGGGGAGGGGGCGGAAGCCTGGAGTGTTGAGTGGGGGCGGCCTGAGGACACCTTGGCTTAGTAGGCGTGGTTAGAGATGAAGAGGGACTCGCTGGCGGCAGCACCGGCCTGGCCGCTTGGGGTGTATTTTCCTTGACAGGCGAGGCTGTTGGCCAGGGCACGCTTCACGTATTCCTCCTGGGCTGCCTTCAGGTTCTCCTTCTTACCACCCCAGGCCTTCAGGGCTGAGGCCTGCAGGGCGCGGCCGTAGGAGAAGGTGAGGGCCCAAGGCTTCAGGAGGGGGCACTTGTTGATGGCATTGAGGTTGATGGACGCCTCCTCCTCACTCTGGCCTCCAGACAGGAAGGTGACTCCTGTGGGAACAGGTGTAAGAAGTGGGGTGAGGGAGGGAGAGTGACCACTGTCAGACACCCCAAGGGCTGGAAAGGAGGAGCTTCTGGCAGGGGGGCTGTGGAGACCATGATGGAGAGTGTGGGCCTCACCAGTGACGGCAGGGGGCACTGTGCGGCGCAGCGCAGTGACGGTTGCCATGGCAATCTCCTCATGGGTATACTTCTGGGTACAGGCGTGACCTGGGGTGACCATGTTGGGCTTCAGCAGGGTGCCTTCCAGGTAGATGTGGTGGTCGCTCAGGGCCTTGTACACAGCGGCCAGCACCTAGGGGAGCAGCACAGGATGGAAATTAGGAATCGGGGTAGAGGACAGCAGTTACACTCAAGAGCCCCCAGCCCCCCACTGCCAAGGGCTGGCCAGGCAGGCATGTCACTTTACCTTCTCAGTGACATACTGGCAGCGCTTCAGGTCATGGTCTCCGTCGGGAAGGATTTCTGGTTCCACGATGGGCACAATGCCATTCTGTGTGGGAAGAGAAGGACGGGCTGATGCAGGCCTCCTAACCCATATGCTCTTCCCAGAGCTCAGATCAGCGAGGACCACAGCACTGGGCACCCGCTCACACCCTCCTTCCTCTGCTTGCTGTCTCACGATTGAAGTGTTGGCTGCAGACCCAGCATGAGGCGTGACAAGCTTTGGGGAGCAGCTGCTCTGGGGGAGGCAGCAGTCCTAGCCTCTTGTTGCCACCGTGGGAAGAGAAACAAACCCACCTGCTGGCAGATGCTGGCATATCGGGCCAGAACATTGGCATTCTCCATGATGGCCAGGGCTGAGGGGGTGTGCTCCCCAATCTTCAGCACACAACGCCACTTGGCAAAGTCGGCTCCATCTTTCTTGTACTGGGCACAGCGCTCCGACAGCCCATCTAGCCCTGAAGGGATGGAGGAGTTAGGGCAGGGGGAGGAGAGAGGGGGGCACGGGGCTCCCACTTCCCGGGAACCTGCCTTCCAATCCAAGAAGGGACACCCAGCTAAGGGAGGGGGGAGTTTTCACCTTGAGTGGTGGTCTCGCCATTAGTTCCTGCCAGGGGTACCACGCCCTTGTCCACCTGTTGGGATGGGAAAGATGGCAGTGACATGAGACAGAGAACATGAACTCTGGTTCCAGTTCCTCGTGTTCTCCCAACTTTGTTTAAGTCTCTGCAATGGCCCTTTCAGGACTTGCAAATATTACAATATCTAGTTCTGGGCAGCAGGCTACACCAGACTATGGTTGACAGGGAGATTTGCTCTCTAGCACCTCCTGTCAGCAAGTCACCTTGTCACGCTCCCTCAACTCCTGGGTCTGCATCTGTACAATGGGACTAGCCCTTAGCCTGGAACTGGGAGGCTTGAATGCACCACACCCAGCAGCTACCATCAACCGACCATCTGTGGCTTCCCGTCCACCCACGTCCGCCAGGCCTGCAAGCCTGGGGTCATGCCCTACCCTGCCCTTTAGTACTTCCCCTTCCCGGGTCTACCCTCACCCCAACAGTACAGTCTGCCCCCTTACCTTGATGCCCACAACACCACCCTTGGACTTGATCACTTGTGGGAAGGGACGCCCATCATCGGCTTTCTGGTAGAGGGTCTCGTGGAAGAGGATGACGCCTCCGATGCAGGGGTTCACACGGTCATCAGCGGTAAGCAGCAACTGGCGGTAGAAACGCCGGTTCTCCTCCGTGTTCTCTGTGCCAATGGACTGCAGCCTCTTGGCGATGCTACCTGGAGGGGGGCAGGTGGGTCAGTGTGTGGGACAGGAAGGGGAGGCTGTCCATCAGCCTACCACTCCCACCTCCCTGTGGTGCACCTGTGGACTCATCTGCAGCCAGGATGCCCTTGCCCGGGGCCACAATGCGGTGAGCGATGTCCGACAGCTCCTTCTTCTGCTCTGGGGTCAGCGCTGGATACGGGTAGGGCATGGTGCTGGTGGCAGCAAGTTCCTGAGATGGATGCAGGAGGCCTGGTAAGCTGGGCTGTCCTGCAACCTTCCCCAGCAAGCAGGGCCCCTTGCCTGTGGTCAGGGTAAAATGTTCCTTACCTCCCCTGCCCCACACCCAGGGCATATCCTGGGGTACTTCCTGTCCCCCAAGTTCCCTACCTCCCATGCCCTCGCACCCGGGCGGGTCCTGGGGTACTTCCTGTCCCCCAAGTTCCCTACCTCCCATGCCCTCGCACCCGGGCGGGTCCTGGGGTACTTTCTGTCCCCGGCTTTCCCGACTTCCCTAGACTAGGCCTGCCCCCTGTACCTTTCCTAACTCTGTCTGCTGCTGGGTGGTGCCCAGCTGAGGTTGGGTTTGCGCACTGGCACCCGGGGGAAAGGAAAATGCCAGAGCCAGGGACAGGCGGGTCATGTTGAAGCTGGACCCATCTGGCTTGCGCTTTGCCATGGGGGTCACCTTGCCTAGAAACAAAACCGAACAACCAGAGGATTTTAGAGTTCCCAGGGCATGGGGAGGGGCCAGAGACCCCACCACCTTCATCCGAGAGAGCCCAAAGAAGGGCAAAGTTCTGTGTGCCTCCACCCTGGTGGGAAGAGGAGGATCAGTTCCAAGATTAGATAGAAGAGATTGGGCCATTCAGTCCTCAAGGACATCTCAAGGTCAGGCTGTCCCACCCTTAGGGTGGGGGCAGGGAATTAGGAAAAGGGTGTGTGTGTGGGAGGGGGGATGCTGGAAGGTGATGAGAGTTCCGGGAAAGAGCAGCGGGGCGAGCCAGGCTGGGGCCCAGGGAGGGGTGAGGCTTGCCCTTCTCGCTGCTTGCACAGGGAAAGGATACGTGGAGGAGCCGCCAAGCGCCCCACCCCTGTCCCTGAAAAATGCTCCTGTCTTTTCGCACGGCTGGCAGCAGCTGTTCCAGGCTCAGAATCAACGTCACGAGATAAGGAAAAGATAGCAAAGTGTTAATGGGTCATCAAGCCAGACTAAGGGGTTCCCCCTCCTAGCCGGCACGCCCTACCTCTTGGCCCGAATAAACCCCTCACCTACGGGAACCCTGAGGCGATAGATGGCCCGGCTCCCGCCCCCTCGCCGTCTCTGGAGGGGACCCTTAGAGACGAAGGAGCCCTAATCATTTGGACGGTGTAGGTGATGGTGGTGTGTGTGGGGGGGGTCTCTGCGAGAGGGGAGTAGAGCTTCCCTCTCGCTGTTCCTCCCCCGCCATGACTCAGCGCGCGGAGCTGCCGCGTTGCGCAGCTAAGCCAGGGAGCCCAAGCCGCCGACGGCTAGGGAGTCGGAGCTGAGCGCATGCGGATGTGTGGGGGAGCGAGAGGGTAGCCTGGGGAGAAGCGTGGAAAGGGTCTCCCAGCCGACCCGCCACCGCCTCCCCACCAAGACCTTTCTCTGGGTCCCTGACCCTGACACGTGGCGTAGAGACGCTCACCTGGCCCGGGAAGGTGGATTGGAGGGCTGCGGCGGCGGTGGGCTGGAGAGCGCGCAGGGGAAGAGAACGCGGCGATCGTCACCAGGACCCGGTTCTGCGGCGCGTTCCGAGAGGAACGCAGCCTATTCAGCTCCCGGAGGGGGCGGCGCAAGGGGCGGGCGAGAGGTGGAGCCCTTGCCTTTTAAAGGCGCCGCGGTGCCCCTCCGCCGGGCCTTTTCCCTTGCAGAGGAGGGGGTGGGGCAGGAGACGTCCAATTGCGCGAAAGGAACTAGGTGGGAGGCCAGCCCCCCGAGCCGCGAAGCCGCCCCGGAGGCGGTGCCTGCGAGCGGGCTGCTTCCCCCGCCCCGCAGCCTGGGACGTGACTCCGGCCACATCCCGCGGGTCGGCGGCGCCCTCCCCTCCCCCTCACCGGGCTGCACCTCCCCCCGCACTCCCCGCTGCCCGGGCCTGGAGCGTTCCGGGGTGCCGTGACTCAGCCAGAATAAAGGCCGCAGAGTAGATGGAGATGAGAAGCTAGGGGAAAGCGGAGCGGAAGAGGCTGAAAAGATGGAGCCTCCACTTCCCCTTCTAGGACCAGATCTGGCGGCCGCGAGCAGCCCCGCTTCCGGCCTGCGCGGTTGCAGCGTGTGTCACAGTCGCCAGAGGGAGAGGTCGGGCGCGGGCCTGCCTCTGGGCGTGGAGCCGATCGCCCTAGATCGCCCCAGGTCGCTTAGTCCAGGCCAGGACGGGTGGGTGCCGGAGCTGCCAGGGGCTTGGAGGCGAGGCCTCCTGCACACTCGTGCCAAGCTCTGACTACTGAGGAAGGCCTCCAGGCATCGGTGCCGGGGTTCGCTCCAGAGACCCAACCGAGCTCCCGCTGGCGCACGCGCTCTCCACATGGGGCTGGCGCCGACCAGAGCGTGGTGGCGCGGATCCCCCAACCAAAAAGCCGACCACGTGGAAAACAGCGGGCCCCCGCTAGTCCCCCCCCACACACACACACGCACACTCCCCCGAGGAAGTCCCTGCGACGTATCTTCCTGGGACCTGCCTTATTTCTGCAAAATAAACTCCGTCTCCGAGTTGCTCCACTGCCCTCCTTCTTACTCTTCCCCCTCCTGATCCGGCTAAGTTAGCGGCCCACCTGCTAAGCGGCGAGGCGAAAGGAGCTGGCAGAGTCTGGTCAGCAGCGAGTGAGCGGGTCGTCCCCAGCCTGGGTTATAAGGCAGCTCCTGCCCTCCCCCCGCCCTGGACAAGTGTCCCCGACCTTCTCCTGTGACCCCTGCCCTTTCCCCGGCCACGGATCCCCGACAGGGACCTATATTTAGGGAAACCTGAAGCCCCTGACATTCATGCCAGCGTGGGGCTCGGTGTGGGGGAAGGAGGAGGAAGCCTTGGGTCGCTCTGCTGGGAAGGGGGTGCGGGAGAGAGTATGGGGAAGGGGGGCTCCCCACCTACTCACTGGCACTTCAGAGGAAATGTCTTCCTTGGGATTCCAGAAGGAGTCTCGTGGTGGTCAGGAGCTACCCTGTGTTTGGGCTGGAATCTGTAAGAAAAGGGTAAGGGGCCTTAGGTCACCCTGACCCCTCCCAGCCTGCCTCCTGCTGGCTCCTCCCTTTCCCTCCCCCAACTCTGGGCCTGGCTAGTGGCTGCTCGGGTTTTCTGATTTTTTTTTTTTTTAAGAGGGAGAGCAGATGCAGGCACTGCACTCCTAAAATAACCAAGACGACAGAGTGTGGTTGGGGCACCCCTGCATCCCCCACAGTCAGACCCAATTCTCCCAGAATCTCTGATGAGCCCTGTCCCATACCCTCACCTTCAAATATTACAATTTACTTGGAGAAGGAGAGGCAGTGGGGCCACATTCTAGAACGGAGCGCCTCTTTCTTCTGATCCTCCAAAGGACCTGCCGTCCACCAACTGCCCAAGGGCTCTGTGGGCTCATGGGGAACCAGGCCCTCCACTGGCAGGTCCCAGGCCACCGAGCTGGGCCGGCCATTTGTGTGTCCATGGGGTGGGGAAGGGTGCTGGAGAAAGGGGTACTGATCAGCAAGGGGGGCAGGTGAGCCCTGGGGGCCGGCCACTCCCCAGAGGGTAAGCTCCTGGTCAGGGACTCATCGCAGCTTGATCTCAAAGCAGAGACAGTTGAGGCTCTGGCAGTCGGGCAGTTGGCAAGCGCAGGCGCAGTCGCAGAGCGGGCAGCAGCTGGGGCAGCGAGGGGCCCAACCCTGAGGGAGAGAAGGGAAGGACTGAGGGGGTGTCCTCTTCCCTCACGGGGAGGAGGAGGGTGGACAACAGCCTGGGAGGCCACCATGGGCTATTCTTGGCAGTAAAGCAGTTTCCCGGAGCCACTCGCATCGTGTTCAGGAGTGCTGGGAGGGAGGTCCTAGGCATGCTCTGCCTACACCATGTTACGGAGGAGGACACAGAACCAGCGGCCCTGGCTTTCTCACGGGAATTCAGGTACCCCAGTGTCTGGCTCAGGGATGGCTCTGCCACATTGTCAAGGCTTTGTGCCATGGAGCAGCAGGAGATCAAGCAAATCCCCATATTTTCCTCTCTAGGGAGCAGGGATCCCATTTGGATGCTGGTCTGTGTCCTGGCTACTCCATGTCCCATCCAGCTCCCTGCTTGTGGCCTGGGAAAGCAGAGGATGGCTCAAGACCCTGACCCCTGGACCCCATGTGGTAGACGTCCGGTTCCTGGCTTCAGGTTTGGCTCAGCTCCGGACATTTGGGGAGTGAACCAGTAGATGGAAGATATTTTTCTCCATCTTGTCTTCTCTCTGTAAATCTGCTTTTCCAATAAAAATAAACAAATCCTGAAAAGGAAAAAGTTGAGCCCTTCTAATGATCAGAATGCTCAGAGTGAAGTGACTTGCTCAAGTGCTACTCGCAAGTAGCTGGCTTGAAGCAGGGTCTGCCAGCCCCAATCCTGTGCTCCCAATGCCTCCCTGCACCAGGAACAGCTACTTTTTCCAAGGGTTCCTAGGCCTGGGACACCCCAAGTTCTCCTCTGAGCTCACTTAGGGAGCAGGTGGCTGGGAGGCAGAGGAGTGGGGAATAAATGGATGAATCTAAGCAGATGGCTTTGACTTAAATAAATATGTATATTTATTCACGTCTATTGGAAAAGCAGATTTACAGAGAGAGACAGAAAAATCTTCCATCTGCTGGTTCACTCCCAAAATGGTCACAGTGGCTGGAGCTGAGCCTATCTGAAGCCAGGAATCAGGAGATGCCTTTGGGTTTCCAGAACAGGTGCAGGGTCCCAAGGACTTGGGTCATTCTCTGCTTTTCCAGGCCACAAGCAGGGAGTGGATGGGAAGTACAGCAGCTGGGATATGAACCGGCACCCATGTGGGATACAGGTGTTTGCAGGTGGAGGATTTGCCAGTTTAGCCAACATGCCAGCCCCCCAGCTTTTACTTCTTTGTGGAAAGGAGAGCAGAGAGGGCCTCTGGAGTTCCCCCCTCATGGCCTGGGGGGGGAGTTGGTGGGGGAAAGACAAGTCCCCGGGGAAATAGGAACAGCATGTCCTTTGGGACAGGAAGGAGGAACAGGCCCCCTCTGACCCTCTGCCTCTCCACGCTGGGACAGAGCTGGTCTACAACCACAAACTCAGGATGGCCCTGTGACAAAAGCTTGCTGGTTGCTCAGGCCAGAGCCAGAACTAGTGACAGTCCCAGTTGCACAGCTCAATCAGACACCGGGGCCAGGCCAGGAATAGGGGCGTGACATTTCCAACAGCTGAGGTTTCGGGGTGCGGTATCAGCTGACTGGTGAGGTCAGGTGTCATTAGGGGCTCCAGTTAAGGCTGGATCACCCATCATCCACCCATGGGGAGAGGGCGCATGCAGAAGGCTTAGAGGCATCCCGGTGTTAGGGAGATAAGGACGTGGTTTTCGAATATTGGGCAAAGTATGTGGTTTGGGGCATCTCTGGACAGAGCCAGTGCTGAGGGAGCACAGGCTATGGTAGGTTCAGGAGGCCCACGCAGTCCTTCCGTGCACAGGGCTGGTGGCCAGAAGTCTGCCGCCCTCCCCTTAGAAGAGCAGGGATTAAAAGCACTTCTTGGCTTCAGCCCTGAGCTGGCAGGGTTCAGAGCCAGTGTTAATAACTGCTAATGGGTTTCTCTGCTCCTACCAGCAGCCATGTGTCTCCTGCAAGGAATTTGCTGTTTAAGTACATGAAATCAGGGCTCCGCATTAACCCCTGCACTGCCCCAGGCTCCCCGGGGTTGCACTTCTCCCGCTGATTTTTTTTCTGTCCCCGAGACTGTGTGTCCCCATGACTATGTGAGGACTTGCCATCAGCCCCACTGCCTACAGCCAGAGCCCTGCAGTGGGTCAGCCCTGGGGCTGCACATCCACGGGTCTCACTCACACGTGGAGCCTCCATGCCTACATCTCTGAGACAAAAAGACCGTGAGCTGCCAACAGTCCTTGTTGTGCCACCCTGATGGAGATAACAGAACAGGGCATGGAGGAGCAGGAGGAGGGGTACTCTACCCAAAAACTTGTGAGCGCTCAGCTAGGGACAGCTGATCCGCTCATCACAACTTCACCACCTCTTGGCCCATCCCAGACCTACTGAGGGAGGGAGAACTGGACCCACTTTAGATCATGCACTAGTATGCAGATTGCCCACTAAATGTGGTCCTTATCCCCACCCTACTGTAACTGCCTATCTAGCCCCAGACTGCAAGCCCTGGGTAGCTTATGCCTCATCTCTCTCATTTCTGCCGAGTCCCTGGAGCCCAGTACAAGGCCTTAAATCATTGCTGAATGACTCGAGCTGCTGGCCAGCCCAGTTGCATCACCTTGGGCAAGCCATTCGAGCCCCTGTCTCTCCTCTCTGTATATCCGCCTTTCCAATAAAAAAAATAATAATAAAAATAAATCTTTAAAAAAAAAGAAAAGAAAGAAGAGAGCACAGTGCCACACCATTGATTTTGAAGTTCAACACACCTGCCAGGCATTCGCAGCAGCTGCAATCAGCCCCACCACAGGATTGCTGGGACCTGATCTTCACCATGCCTGCCGCCCCCCAAGGCAAGGTCATCACTCCAAGGACAGGAGCTTTGCTATCTAAATCTCTAAATCCAAAATAATCCCCGCCCAGGAAGGTGATTGGCTACACTCAACATCCATAAACCAGCAACTGCAAAAATGGCCACAGGCCAGCCTTCTGCCCCCAGGGGGCTGAGTTCCAGCTATGGAAGGACTTGCTCGACCACACTCTTCCAGGAAACCAACAAACTAGGTGAGCAATTTCACGAGAATTCTACTCACTTGTGTGTGCAGGTGTGCGGACACAGACAGGTGGCTGAGGCATTAGGGCAAGTTACATAGGGCTAGTTGGGGGACAAGTGTTGGGAGGGGGCTACAGTCACGACTCCAGCCAGCCACATCCCACACCAAGCAGGCTGCCTGGGTTTAAGTGTCCACTCAGTTCAAGTCCAGCTTCTGCTAACATGTACCTTGTGCGTGCGTGGGGGCGAGGGGCGGAGCAGCAGGTGATGGTTCAAGAACTCGGGTCCCTGCTGCCCATATGGGAAGCACAGATTGAGTTCAGGCTCCTGGCTTTGGCCAGTTCTGATACAACTATTGTAGGCATTTAGGGAGGGAACCAGTAAATAGAAGATCTCTTTGTCTCTCTCTGCCTTCCAGATAAGTAAATAAACATATACATACACACCTTGTAAACAGCAGAAGATAGGGAGCGGCTATGGTGAAATATTCTTACCAAATACTAGTAAAATAAACAAGACTTCAAAAAGTTCATGGAGGGAGCCCGGCGGCGGGGCCTAGTGGCTAAAGTCCTCACCTTGCACACCTGGGATCCCATATGGGCACCAGTTCTAATCCTGGCAGCTCCACTTCCCATCCAGCTCACTGCTTGTGGCCTGGGAAAGCAGTCGAGGATGGCCTAAAGCTTTGGAACCCTGCACCCATGTGGGATACCCGGAAGAAGTTCCTGGATCCTGGCTTCGGATCGGCATAGCATCGGCCATTGCTGTCACTTGGGGAGTGGACCATTGGACAGAAGAGCTTCCTCTCTGTCTCTGCTCCTCTCTGTACATCTGACTTTCCAATAAATAAGTAAGTCTTAAAAAAAAAAAAAAGTTCATGGACAATAAAAAGCAATTACCAAAAAAAAGTTCATGGAAAAGGTACATTATGTAAAAAGTTATGCATAGATTTCAAAATTATGATAAAAGCAGCTTAACTTTATAACAAAATATATCCATCCATTCAAAATAAGAGCTATAGACAGGAAGGGAAAGACAGAAAGATCTTCCATCTGCTAGTTCACTCCCCAGATGGCTGGAGCTGAGCTTCTTTAGATTTCTCACCTCTGTGCAGGAACCCTGCCTGTGATGCCAGCTTCACACGCAGCAGGCTTTACCCACCATGCCACAGTACTGGCCTCTTTTCATTGATTTTCTATGAGCTGTTGAAGTGCCTTCACACAACACTGATACTACATAGGTTCATCCCACCCATATCATAGTGCTGCTTTAAGTCCCTGCTGCTCCACTTCCAATCCAGCTTCCTGCTGATGTCCCCGGGGAGGCAGTGGGGAATGGTCCAAGTGCCTAACTCTTTGACATGGCCTAGCCCCAGCATTTGGGGAATGAACATGTGAATGGAAGATTCTGTTTGTGCCTCCTTCTCTGCCTTTCAAATAAAATAAACATTTAAAAAATTAATACTAGCTCTCAGAGGTGTTGGGAAAAGTCATCACATCTCTGACAGTGCCTCCGGACCCCAGCTCAGAGAGCAGAAGTTACTCACGAGCTGTGTTTTTGTTTATTTGTTTGCTCGTTTTATTGGAAAGGCAGATATACAGAGAAAAGCAGGGTCTCAAGGCTTTGGGCCATTCTCTACTGCTTTTCCAGGCCACAAGCTGGGAGCTGGGAGGGAAGTGGAGCATTCAGAACACAAACCCGTGCCCTGTGGAATTCTGGCACATGCAAGGTGAGGATTTAGCCACCAGGCTATTGGGAGTATTTTCAAAGGCACCGCTTCAGCTGTCCCCTGGTTTTCTTTCTTTCTTCAAGTAGCTGTCATCCTCCTTTCCCCCAGTGTTGATGTTGGTTCAGGCTGTCCTCACATGACTTAGGATCTGGCCAGGTGCCTGGCCGGGCTCAGTTGCTCTGTAATAAATGTCACAGCATAGAGACCCAGATCGCACCTAGCACAGGGCTAGGCTGGGCAGCCTTAGAGGGAGAACTCACAGTTTCACTGGGCTGGGGGCAGCAGGCATCCAGGAGGTGGGCGGGGCGGGGCAGAGGGAAGTCGCAGGCTTCGGCGCAGGTCCAGCAACAGTCCTGGCGCTCGGAGGCGCTCTGCTTCCTGCAGGGGGAGCTGCAGTCCGCGCAGCAGCCCTGGGCCTAGGACAGGGCAGGGGTGAGCATCGAGCCAGGCTGATTCAGGGAGAGGGGCAGGCGACCAGAAGACAGAGCCACCCTGATCCCACCAAGCCGGAAGGAGAAGAGTTTGCAGAAGAGAGGACAGTTTAACGGGTTCCTCTCTCCCTGCCGGTCCCACCCTTTATCCCTCGCAGAGTCCCTCACCAGCAGGCAGCGTCTAGTGAGCAGCGCCAGGCCCAAGAACAACAAATAGATGCCCACAGCGATGAAGACAATGGCGGGGATGGGAAGCAGCAAGGCGGGGCTGCCCACAGGAGCTGGGGTTGGACTCCACGGGCTGGAGGAAGCCTGCAAGGAGCACAGAGGGAAGGGAGGCTGGGAGATGGGAGGGAGCCAGGGGTGGCTGGGGGAACCCCCTGCTGGTGTGCTGGGAGGGCATCAACAGGACACATCCCAGCACACTACCCATCGCCAAACCTGCCCTCCTCCCATTTCATCGCCCTGCTCTTTCTCTCCTAACACTGCCTGGACTTGAAAGCATCCCTCATCCTGCATTGCCTTCTCACCTTCACAACTGGCTCTTTCCACACCAGCTGTCCTGTGTGGCCCCTCCATCCCACCAACCTCCCTTACAGCCCATCAATGGCTTCAGGTTAACCCAGCCCCACACCTAGGCCTGCCCAGGATTCCCTCCCTGCCCACGTCCCCAGCCACACTAAGTTCCTAGTAGTGCCCCCAACGTGCTGTCCCCAGGTCTCTGGCCCATCCATGCCCAGGGCTCTGGGTACCCCACCCCATGATTCTTCTCCTAGGCCACTTGGCAAGCTACCCTGGATCTTGCCAGCTAAGACCAAAAAGGTGCCCACCGGTGGCACCATCTCACAGTTCTTGTCCTGGCTGGAAGGGGTAAAGTGAGTCAAAAGCATCTTTCTCATTCCAGTTTGCCGAAGACGGGCCACGTCAGGGTGGGTCCTGGATGAAAAGAGAGCGGCCTGGCAGTGGGGAGTGGGTCGGACTCACCTCCATGGGATACAAAAGCACCACTCAAGTCCTGGAGCTGTAAAGAAAGAAAGAAAGAAAGAAAGAAAGAAAAAGGCGAGGGGGTGAATCTTAGAGATGGAGAGGGGCCAGCAGAGTGTGTGTGAGGCTCACCTCCTCCTCCCATCTCCCGTTTGGGCAAACTGAGTCCTGGCGATAGCCTCTGGTCCGCATGGCGGGAGTCGGGGATCCAGGGACCCCAGGGCGGCGCCTTCTTCGCAGGCTCCAATCCGGCCCAGGCCGGCCCCCCTCCGCTGTCCCCACAGCCCAGGCTCCCTCAGCCCCCTCAGCCCCATCACCTGCACCCTCGGGGGCCGCGGGCAGTTCACGGATTCCGCGCCGCGCTCGGACCAATCGCCTTGGCGCCAACGCCGCCCAGGAGCCTTCTGCCGCTTCTGGCTGCTGCCATGGGGACCAGAGCGCGGGCCTCTACGGCAGCCGTCGAGCCCCAAACTCCTCCTTCCCGCCCCGCTTTTTCCCGCTGAATCCTCCATAGCCCCGAGATTTTTTTTTTAACTAAGACGGGATGACGGCACCCAAACAATAGTTGATTCGCTACATCACCCGGCTCTGGTCGGATCCTGGGTGCTGGACGTCGGGGGAGGTGCCCTGGGTCCTGGGGTGCCACAAAACAAGAGCTGACCACTCCCACCCCCCACCCGCCTCACACGCCCACTTGCTCTGTGACTTCTCCAGAACAAAGGGAGAAAAGGCAGCCAGTTTTTTGCTCAGCCCGTTCCCGCTTCTCCAGCTTGACTACCTTTTTTCAAATCCTGCTCCTTTTCTTTTTCCATCTGTAAACTTCCAAAAGCTTCCCAGGGCTCCCAGGGCAAGGTACAAGAGCTCCATCCAGAGCCCAATGCAATGGCTCAATTGGCTAATCCTTCACCTCTAAGCGCCAGGATTCCATTTGGATGCCGATTCGTGTCCCAGCTGCTCCACTTCCCTTCCAGCTGCTCCCTGCCTGTGGCCTAGGAAAGCAGTCCAGGACGGCCCAAACCCTTGAGACCCCGCACCCGTGTGCAAGACCCAGAAGAAGCTCCTGGTTTCTGGCCATTTGGGGAGCGAGCCAGAGAATGGAAGATCTCTGTTTTGTTCTCTCTGTAAATTTGCCTTTCCAATGAAAATAAATAAATCATAAAAACAAAACATCTTACATCTGTCCACACCAAGCTTCTGGGAGCGCTGCTCCCATTCCCTACATGCACACACCCTCTCACTCCTCACCCATGTCCCTGGTCACAGGCTGGAAATCTTACAAACACATGATAGGTGTGTGCCAGGGGCTCTGCACAGGCTCTTGGGGGACTCAGAGCTGCACCCCGGGACTAGAACACCCTACCTCGTGTCCCTGCTCCTCCCTTAGGCCTGTGGACAGCCTGGGCTGGGTGAGGTCCTCCCAAACCCCAGGGACAGGGATGGCTGCTGTGCACTGGGTAATGATGTAACACTTGGTTGATTCTCCAGTTGGATGTTGCAGCCTGCTTCCCATCCGTGGCCCCCACCCTAGCTCTCAGCCCAGACTCGGCGGGGAGGCAGGGGGACCATCAGCGAACACCTTTTAATTCTGTGAATACTCCATTTCAGGATGGTCCTGTTCCTGGGCTTGTCTCTGGCAGCACCCCAACCCTTGACTAGGAAGGCACCAGGACCTCTGTCTGGCCTTCCTACGCTCCCCACGCGGCCTCCTATACAGCCACTGCCTCCCAGCTTTGCCACCGGAAGTCCCACTCCTCAGGGCTCCTCACCCTCAGGGGCCAGCCCCTCGAGGAGAGGGTTTCCCCAACACACGGCTAGAAGCAGCAGCATGGAAATTTCCCAACTCTGTGTCCCCCCCATCCCAAGTCCCAGGTCTCCCCTCCCACCTTCCATCACACACAGGCCAGGTGCCAGTGCCAAATGCCCTCCCAGGCACTGTAACTTTCCCCACTGTCATCACTGCTGATTTTAAGATGCAGGGACATCCCCAATGACCAATCTGGGAAAAAGCCAATCCCTCCCCCAGTCCCAGGAAGGCTTCAGAAGGCACACATTCCCCTCCCTCCCTCCCTGTCTCCTGCCAACTCAGTGACACCAACTTTGGCAAGGCCTCCAACCACGTCCAAGGCTGGCAGCGGTCAGAGTCACTGCCACGGACGATCGTATTCTGTTCCTGCTATTGGGCTCATACATTATGCAGGGTGGACAGTGTGCAGGGCCAGCTCGCTGCCAGGCAAAGCGTGGGAGGGGTGATTAGGGCTCTCCCTCTGCCAAGCCCCACACTTGTACCCGAATCACGCATCTGTGGGAGGCTGGGGGACAATCAGACTTCTACCAGATTTCCCTGCAACCTGAAGTTCAAAGCCAAGACCCCAGGGGAAAGGAAGAAAAGGGAGCCATTCAGGCATCATCCGAGGGTGGGTAGAACCTGGGAGGCCCAGGCCTGGGGAGTGGGAGGGGGCGCTGACAGCTCTGGTCCTGATCTGGCCAGCAGAGGCTCCAAGTGATGGAGAGGAGAGATCTGGGTTTAGAGAATTTCCCTGGAGGAATGGAGAGGCTGAGCTGCCCCACAGCATCCACAGACCTTATTTAAGCCTCATCACAAACCTTATTTAATCCTCACCAGTGGCAGGAACCATCATTTCTGTTTTACAGACATGAAGGAACTGCGGCCCAGTTATTAAAAAAAAAAAAAAAAAAAAGCACAACCCAATCAACTTTGGATCCAGCTGGTTTTTGGAGTTCTAAGTGCTCCCTCCCTTGGCGTTTCTGGGAAGCCCTGGGGGGAAGCCAACGGAGCTCACTGGGCCTCAGTCCTCTGTTGGCAGGGCTAGGGGTGATGATTACACATAATGTAATAGAGCCCTGAGCCAGGGCTCATTAGTAATGATGGACAAACAATCACTCATGAGTATGCATGTAAGCAGGAACTGCGCCTTGCACACATGTCTCAGCAACCCTGGGAAGAGGAAATGCTATTGTTTCCATGTTATAGATAGAAGCCTGAGGCTCACACAAGAAGCAAGTAGCAGAGGCAGGCTTTGGGCTCTGGCCATGATTGGGACCTTGTGAACATACAACAGAAGCCCAGTGAGGTTCTGAAACCGGGCCGATGTCACACAGCCAGACAACTGGGGCAGAAAGGCCCTTGAACCTTAAGCCATCTGACTACATCACACCTGTTATGCCTCTGGCCTTTTTCTGGTATGCAGGTAAAGGGTGGGGCTGCGACTGCTTGAACAGTAGCTGACCTGAGGCAGTACAAATAAAAGCACTAAATAATAAATGCTCTGACACCCTGGCAGGGATGCTGCCGTGGTGTGGGGGTTGGGGGAATTGGACCCTTCCTTGGGTATCAGGTGGGAAGCAGGCCACGGCTGGCTGCCTAACATTTACTTATTCACAGCCTCCTCTGCTGAGAGCAGCCCCGTGTACCTGCAGCGCCCATCCACGCGGCACCCAGGCAGAGATGATGAGCCAAACAGCGTCGGGACAGAGGAGCCCACCGGGGATAGGAAACGGTAAAGTCCAGGTGGAGGGGACTGGATGGCAGGTCTGGATAGCCTGGGATGGGGACGCTCACGTGGGAGTGGGGCTGCAAGAGGGAGAGCCGGTGGCTGAGGTCTACAGAAACAGCTGCACTGAGCCAGGCCCCAGGCTGCTCCTGTACCTGTGCACCTGCAGGCCAGTGCTGGGTCTATGGGATGCCCAGACAAGGAGTCTGTCATGATCTCAGGCTGTGGAGTGCTTCTGACCTTGAGTGGTTTGCTTTAGGTGATGTACGGTTCAATGACAGCACGCACACACATGTGCCGGGAAAGCTAGTCTCTTTCCAATTCCCTTACAACACTTGTGATCACCCTGGGACAAAGTCCCATTTTGCTGCCAAAAGTCCTTCAACACCTTTTTATCAGTGCTTATCTATGTCTGGCTTTCTTCCTTTTAACAGAGAGAGAGAGAGAGAGAGAGAGAGAGAGCTGCCTGCAGTGCAGACTGGGCAGTCCCAGTAGCAGCCTAACAAATAGTTACAATGTTAAAAATCTTTGTTTCCATTTGCTATATAAAGTGTTATTTTCTATGTACCACAGGTGATCAGGGGTTTCTATTTTTAGTAGTGGTGACGAGTTCCCTTTTAAAGTCCACACTGAAAAGTTCCTGTAGTTGGATCACTTCTCAACTCGGGGACCCTGAAAGAGCCACCAGCCCCTCCCCTCCTCTGGACAGAGAATGTTACTGCAGCGTCTCAGCCCACGGAAGAGCTTAGATGGGCACCCGACACATAGGACATGCTGTAAAAAGTGTTTGGTCAGATCAAGTAGAGTAAGCAGCAGCCAGCAACCAGACACGCAAGCCCAAGCCTTCCTTGGGAGCAGATGCATGGCCCGTCATGTGGTGGGGGAATGAGGACAGAGAAGATAAGAACCCAGACAGGGTCTCAGGCAGTTTCTAGATTCTTCTTTTAACTACCAGCCATTTTACTCTTGGATCACTAACACCAGGGCGCTTGCAAAAAGGGTATGGAAATTAATATTACAGAAAAATAAGCTGCACATGGAATTCAATCTGCTTGGTGATACACCAAATTTTCATGGGAATGCCTCCCCCTGCAATACCAGCATCCCATATGGGTGCCCATTTGTGTCATGGCTGCTCCATTTCCCATCCAACTCCCTGCTAATACGCTTGGGAAAGGGGCAGAAGATGGTCCAAATGCTTAGGCTACTGCACCAACGTGGGAGATTTGGAAGAGGCTCCAGGCTCCTGGCTTCAGATTGGCTCTGCTCGGGCCATTGTAGCCACTTGGGGAGTGACTCATCGGATGGAAGATCTTCTTCTCTGTCTCCTCCTTCTCTCTGTATATCTGATTTTGCAATAAAAATAAATGTCTTTTTAAAAAGAAAAGACAGATTTACTGAGAGGAGAAACATAGAGAAAAATCTTCCATCTGCTGGTTTACTCCTCAAGTGACCACAACGGCTAGAACTGAGCCGATCTGAAGCCAGGAGGTT